TGTTACCTGCCTTTAAAAATTAAGTAAAAATTTGGGCCTGGCAGGTGGCGTGGTGGTTGGGATGCTAGACCTCCCACATGGTTGACTGTAGCTCGAGTCCTGGACTTAGTAGCTTACTTTCTCACTTCTCTCTCTCTCTTGTCAAATTAAATAATAATACTAAAAAAATTAATCTTTTTAAAAATTAAGTACAAGTTTGGGACCAGCAGTTGGTGTAATGGCTATGTTGCTGGACTCCCATGTAGTTGACCATGGTTTGAGTCCTGGACGCAGTGGCTTAAACTCACGCTGAGCGCGTGTGCGTGCGTGCCCAAGATCCTGAGAGGAGAATGGAGGAGAAGGGATTGTGGTATGGCCATCTCCCCAGGGCGGGGGAGGATTTTCTCGCTTTCTGTCTCTGTCTCTCTCTGTCTTTCTGGCGATCACATGCGCCTTATAGCAAAAAACCTCTCCCCCCCAAAATTAAGTAAAAATGTAATCATAGGTAGAACATTGACTTACTCAAAAAGTCAGAATTCTTGTAAATAAATCATGTTCCTATAGGACTGGTTTGTAGCAAATAATGACTAGCAGTATATTTCAGTCAATATCAAATTATGCCAGTACCTTAAGTTCTTTTTTTCTTTTTACTTATTTTTTTATTTTTGAGAGAGATTTTGGCTATAAACTACATATGCTCACTGGAGAGACAGTGAAAAAGTCATCTCCAGGTGATGGCCATGCAGTCCCTTCTCCTTCCTCTTGGGATCTGGGGGATGCATACACACGCACCCATCATTAGTTTTAAGTTGCTGGGTCTGGGACTCAAACTGCAGCTGACTACGTGGGAGTCCACCATCATAAACATTATGCCATCTGCTCATCCCGCCTGTACCTTGAATTCTTTCGCACCTTAGCTTTTCAAAAGATAATGTCTCTAGGGGAAAATGTAGTTCAGGAAAGAAGGTTTTACAGCATTTTAGACACAGTTAGCTTTTTCTTTTCTTTTCTTTTCTTTTTTTAAAAGTATTACTTATCAGGGGCCGGCAGGTGGCATGTTGGTTAAGGGTGCTAGACTCCCACATGGCCGACCACGGTTTGAGTCCTGGACCTGGTGGCTTGCTTTCTCACCGCCTCCCTTTCTCTTGCTCTCGCTTGGTCCCTCTCTGGTCAAATTAAATAAAAAATAAATAAATAAAATTTAAATAATAATTCTTAAAGAAAAGAATTATTTATTATCATTATTTTTAGGTTTGACCAGAGAGACAGAGTGCATCTGTGTGCAAGCACAAAGCCACCAGGTCCGGGACTTGAACTTTGGTCACCCGTGTGGGAGTCCAGCACCTTTAGTCACCACACCACCTGCTGGCCCCAACAGTTGGTTTTATTTATAGTAAAGGCTTTGTTTTTCATATACTTAGGAAAGATTTAGGACAGCATCTTAAAAGAAGTACTAATGACATTTTATCATCACAATCAAAAGCCTTTAGAGCTGCTTATCCTGACATCAAGTTATAATAACTGTCAAAAATTGTTAACTTTTTTTAAGTTTATGTATTTCCTCAGTGAGAGATAGCACCCCAACAGGGTCTTGATGCTATAATTCAGCTTTAGCCAGTCCAAGATCATGAGTAAACACATGCCCGCTCTTAGGAAGGTCTCTAGATTCCAAAATTTAACCTTCCCATGTGTGCCATCCTCAGAGAATGTGGTAATGGGCTAACAAGTGGCATGGTGGTTAAAGCTCTGGACTCCCCCATGGCTGAATGTGGTTCAAGTCCTGGATCTGGAGGCTTGAAAATCATGCCAGATATGTGTGCACCCAAAATCCCAGGAGAATGGAGCAGAAGGGATTACCAGGGATCCCTGGGTGATGATTTCTTACCTTCCCTCTCACTGTCTTTCTCTGTCTTGTTAATCTCTGGCGAGCATACACGCTCTATGGCAAAACCTAAAAAAAACAAAACAAAACCCTGTGATTTTCCCCAATAGAACCAAGTTGTATGTCCTTAAGAAGGGCCAGCAGGTGGCATAGTGGTTAAGGCACTGGACTCTCACGTGGCTGATGGCGGTTCAAGTGCTTGACCCAATCAACTTGAAAATTGCCTGGCACATGTGCATGCATGCCCAACATGCCGGGAGGAGAATGGAGGAAAAGGGATTGCAGCATGACCATGGGGTGTGTGTGCGTGTGTTGTGTGCGTGTGTGTGTGTGTTTGTGTGTGGTTTCTTTCGCTCTCCATCTCGCTGGCTGATTATACACACCCTGAAAAAAGGAACAGAAGACAGCCTCTTTACGGTTATCTCTGCCATTGTTCTTTAATTAATCTGGGGTTCTTAAGGTTCTGGGCCTCTCCATAAGCTATTGCTGTGTCCCTTTCTCCCCTATTCTATCCTGACTCATAAATCTTAACAACTGCCCCCAAAAGTAGATAGATAAGCTCTCCTGTTTTTCATTTTGAGATCATTTTTTCCCTCCAATTTGCCAGAGGGCATGCATGCTCACAGAGGGGAGAGAAAGACTGGGAAATTGAGAAAGTACCTCCCCTTCCCTGTGGGAAATATTTATAATGCAGTCTCTTTTCCTCCTTTTCTCCCTCCTTCAAGATTTTAAGTGTGCATGCACCCATGCCCACTATTTTTCAAGCCACTGGGTTTAGGCTTTGAACTGTGTTGTTGGTCATGTGGGATCCTTCAGCTGCCTTAACCACCATGCCATGGACTGGCCCCAGAGTATTTTTAACATTTCATTTAACACACCTGTAATTTTTTTTTTTTCTAGTTTGCTATAGGGCCTCTGTACTCACGGGAGCGAGACAGAGGGCATTAGAGAGAATGAAAGTATGAAATCACTTCCCCAGGAGAGATAGTCACACTGCAATTCCTTCTCTTGAGATTTTGGGCATGCACACTTGGAGCTCGGAATGTTTTTCAAGTCTTGGGATCTGGGACTTGAACTATGCAGTGAGCTGTGTAGGATCCAGCCTTAACCACCATGTGTCCAGCTGGCCCTGGCCCTATTTCTTCATATTTCAATTTATTTTTATTTCTTATATTTGCCAGAGGTCTTGTGTACTCATGAGAGACAGAGTAAGGGGTAGAAAGCACTCTCCAATGGGGTGTGGTCATACTGCAATACCTTTTCCATTTCTTCATCCTGTCAGGATTTTGGACACGCAGGCATATGTGCCTGGCATATTTTTCTTTTCTTTTCCTTTTTTTCCGGCTTCCTTTAAAAAAAAATTGCAGAGGGGCACTCATCAGAGAGAGAGAGAGAGAAAGCACTCCCCCCACCCCCAAGAGGCATGGCCACACCACAATCCTTTCTTTGTTCTCCTCTCAGTATTTTGGGCATGTACCCATGCAGACATGCCCAGTGTGTCCTTCAGGCCACTAGGTCTAGGGCTCAAACCATGCAGTCAGCCATGTGGGATACCACTCCACCTGCTGACCCAGGCCCCATATTTTACTTTAATAACCACATACACTAAATTAAGTCTGTTCCTTACAGTACATTTCCTGGCATAGCATACAGTTAGTTTGGTAAGTTAATATTGGAGTAATGCCCACAGTAGTTTGGTGATGGGGTTAGAAGTTTGCATCCATTTTAATAGGTGAAGAAACTGAGGCATATGGTAGTTGAAATATGGTCCCAAATTATAACTAGTAAATGGTAGAATTGGTCCTGGATCTCAAGTACAGACTTGACTTAGAATCTTAGGCTTCTGCTTATATAGGTTTATTTTGGCATCCTAATCTCAACAAAATATATGTCCAGTTAATCATTTCAGTTTATAAAGCCTTTTGGAGTTAGGTGTTTCTTCCTGATGTAATGTTTCACTCTCTGAGGTCTTTGGGGTGGGGAGTTCCAACTTCTGTTAAGTCCTGAATAATGTCATGAGTGAAACAAGCATTGGCAAGACTGGATCGGCCTGTAATCTACCCTTGCTGAGAGATTTTTGCCTTAAGCTAACAGTGTAAGCCACTTCATTTTATTGTGGTGAATCCTAATTTATAATGCTTGAGATTGAAAAGCAAAATTTTACAAATCAAAATATTATGACCTTGATAAACTAACAGGAGAAGATGAGCTTGTTAAGGGGAATATTTGGCAAATTGAGCATTTATGTTGCCAGGGACTCAGGCTTTTAGAAGCCTTTGAAATCACCCTTCAAATGTTGTCAAATTTGGAGACACTTTTTTCCTAATATAGCAATCATACTTTGTTTTTGTTAACATGCCAGAGAGCTTGTGCTTTCCCTGGAGAGAGACAGAGAGAGTGAGAAAGCCCCCCCACCCCCCCATGGAGAATGGTAATTCCACAATCCCTTCTCTCCCATTTCTCCCTTCTTTTGGAATTTTGGACATGCAGGCACACACACGCCTAGTGTATTTTCAAGCCACTGGGTCCAACACTTTAAACACACAGTTCACTATATGGGATCTAGCTACCTTAATCACTGTGACACCTGGCTGGCCCAGGAGAGACTTTATAAGTTTTAAAATATTCCTCTTGAATATTGGGCTTAACAATATTTTCTTTTTCTTAATTGCAAGAGGACACCTGTGTTCTCCAGAGAAAGAGGGAGGAAACCTCACCATGAGGCATGGTCATGCCACAATCCCTTCTCCATTTTTTTCATCCTATCGGGATTTTGAATATGCACACTCATGCATCTGGTATGTTTTTTGGGCCACTGGGTCAGAGAATCAAATTGCAGTTGCCCATGTGGGAGCCACCTGGCTTCACTGTCAGCCTGCATCACAACTATTTCTTGATATCAGTGTGAATACTGTATATCTAGACAGAACGCAAAGGTCCCGACTCTGCCTTTCTGAGTAATTCTAGTTTGCTTACTTTAAGTTTCAGGATAAAAATATGTGTGTAGTGTTAAGTAAAAGGTTTTAAAAAAATTTTTTTTTTTTTTTAAATACAGTGTTTGTGGTGTATACTTGATTTTTTTAGAAATTATTTTAACAGAAAAGTGAAAGCTAAGATTACATTCATATTGGCTAAAAAGTCTTTTTTCTCTCTCTCTTTAGAGCCGTAGGTAAAACTTGCCTACTGATCAGTTATACAACCAATGCCTTCCCTGGAGAATATATTCCTACTGTGTAAGTATCTTCAGTTACATTGGGAATGAAGTTGTCTGTGATATATTTCTTGGTTACCTTTTATCATTTGTTTCACGGTAAAGCCATTCTTAATCCTATGAACAGATATAATTTATTTTCTCCTAAAACATTTCACCAATTTATGAAGTATTCTTGCCTTTAAAAAAATAAATCTAATATAAAATTTTCTCATAGTGATGGAATAACTTTGCTAATTGGTTTTTAGATACTAAGGAAACGAAAGAAAAACTGAAGTATAGAGACTAGAAAATAGTATTAAAGAAAACCAGAGCTTACATAAAGAATCTGACTAAAGTTTGGTCAGATACAATCCTTGTCAGTGAAAGAGTTTTAGGTAAATTTGGCTAGAGGGGAACTAGAATATAAAATATTTTATTAGATTTTAATTGGCCTTTTCTGGAAAGTCATAAGTTGGTTACATGTCACTGTTGAGTTATAGGCTTTGGAATTAAAATGGGGGTGGTGGTGGAACAGGGTGTATGGGAGGAGGAAATTGGCTATTGAACTGCTTACTCTCTGTGGGCAGCAGGATTGGATAGGGAAAAGTGCTTTTCTGATGATGGGTTAATAGGGAGCCCCATGTTACCTGGGAAGCTCATAATGTTCAGCTCTGAGGCTATGGTAAACTCTGTGCACTCATGTACACTTTGTAAAATATAAATGGGGTTGGGCCAGCAGGTGACATGGTGATTAAGGTGCTGGACTCCCACATGGCCAACCATGGTTCAAGTCTTAGACCTGGTGGCTTGTTTTCTCATTTTTCCTTTCTCTCTCTCTCTGTTTCTCATTTTTCCTTTCTCTCTCTCTCTGGTCAATTAAAAAAAATAAATAATAATAACAAATAAGAATTAAATCTTTAAAGAATATGTAAGTGGTGTCATGTTATTTATGTCGTCCTGAATTTATGGTGACAATTCTCCTTATCTGCACATGTAGAGAAAGCTTAAATTATTTGTGATTAACAGTTTTGAAGTAATATAACTGATTTATCCACTGAATACGTCGGTCTTTTTTATTTGTTTGTTTTATGGACAGTGCTACATTTAGTTGCATCACACATAAGCACATGTCTTTGTAGACCTGATAGAGTACTGGAAGTGAAATTGTGCCAAATCAAAAGGAAATGGAGGGGCCAGCAGGTGGCATAGTTAAGGACGCTGGACTCCCACATGGCCGACCACCGTTCAAGCCTGGCCCTGGCAGCTTGCTTTCTCACTTTCTTTTCCTCTCTTTCTCATGCTCTCTTGCTCTCTCACTCTGTCCCTCTCTGGTCAACTTAAAAACTTTAAAAAATTATTTAACTGTATATATTTTCTTTTGACCAGAGAGGGACAGAGCAAGAGAGAGCAAGAGAGAGGGAAAGTGAGAAAGCAAGCCACCAGGTTTGGGACTTAAACCACGGTCAGCCATATGAGAGCCCACTGCCCTTAACCATCATGCCACCTGCCAGCCCCAGTAATATAATTTTTTAAAAAAAGAAAGAAAATGGATAGTTTAAATTTTGATAGATATTACTAGTTTACTTTTAGATAGAGAGGTCATGTACATGCATGTATTAACAGAGGATGCCATGATCTCCTTTTTTCAGCTACTCAGGATCCTTGGTGTCTGCATGCACACCTGGAATATTTTCAGGGCAACTCAGGATCCAAACTATAGGTAGCCATATAGCTTCCAGTTTTCCAGAACATTTGCATTACTGTTTTATTATAATAGGAATTTTTATTGGACTCCCAGTAGCAATTTTTTAAAAAGAAATATTTATAAAATTTTATTAATCAGTATTATTTTTTAATCTTACCAGAGAGACAGAGAACGAGAAGGTGAGAAAGCAAGATGCCAGGTCTAGGACTCGCACCATAGGTTAGTCATATGGGAGTCTAGCACCTCCATAGCCATACCACTGGCTGGCCTCAGTAGCAATTTTTAATATCAGCCTTATTTTCCCTCTGTCAGCCTGAAGGCTTTTCTGGGCTTCTTGTGTGTATCAATTTCAAATTCATTTAAACATTTGTGTAATCAGATACACTGACTTTGAAAACATTACAGAAGGCTTCTGAACTATGTTTTATTTTACTCCTTACCACACTTCGGTTGCAGTCACCAGAACTGCCAAGTACCACCCTACACTCAGGTAGGCATTCTTGAAACATGACACAGTATAGGGTAGTGGCAAGCCCCGTCATTGAAAATGGCTAAAATACGTACATGAAAAACTCCGCAGCTGAGATTTGAAAGAAAGACTAATTTTACACTTTATTTCTTCCTGGGAGAAAGATTTAACTTTGTATGTATTAAAAGCAAAAATCTTTTATTTCTAACCAGAATTTGTTTTCATTAGCAGCTTGTTTATTTCTGGGGAATTTCTCTTTCTCTAGTTGTGTGTTTGGTTTCCCATATACCCAGCTTTCCCATCCTCCTTTTTAATTTTTTTTCCAGAGAGGTTTTTGCTATAGGGCATGTGCCCTCGCCAGAAAGACAGAGAGAGACAGACAGAAAGAGAGAAATCACCCCCCGGGGGGATGGCCACGTCGCATTCCCTTCTCCTCCATTCTCTTGGGACGCCTGGTGTGAGTTTAAGTCACTGGATCTGGGACTGGAATCACGGTTGACTACATGGGAGTCCAGCGATGTAGCCATTACACCAACTGCTGGTCCTGCCTGTCTCTTTTTTTCTCCTTCCTGGATCCTCCTCATAACTGCAGACCTTTTCTTCAGCACACCTCTGTGAGATTGCTGGTTAGGATAGTGACTGGGTCCTTTATCTGTGACTAATCATCTTTATTCTGTTCTGCAGCTTTGATAACTATTCTGCCAATGTTATGGTAGATGGAAAACCGGTGAATCTGGGCTTATGGGATACAGCTGGACAAGAAGATTATGACAGATTACGTCCCCTATCCTATCCACAAACAGTAAGGATTGCAATTAATAGTGTATCTTTTGGGGTATATGTTAAACTAATTCATGCACTTACAAATAATGCTCCTATTGACATGCTTTAGATGTATCAAGTAATAGCTTATAAAATTTGAACAGTTAAAATGATAAACTCTCTTAGATGCAAGCCAGTGGTTTTAATTTTTGAGCATTACCAGATTTTTATTTTTCCCCAGTGCTGTGCATTTTATGTTCATTTGTTCAGTTTTAGGGCAGCAATATGAAATGGATACTGTTTCTATTTTTGCCAACCAGATTTTATTTTAAAGAATTATTTAATTAATTTCATTGTCATGTTTTAATTTGACGAGAGAGAGAGGGAGAAAAGAAGCCTCCAGTTCCGGGACTTGAACCGTGGTCAGCCATGTGGGAACCCAGTGCCTTTAACTACCATGCCACCTACTGGCCCCACCAACCAGATTTTAACAGCTTTTTTTGTTTCGTTTGGTTTTGGTTTTGGTTTTTTTGGAGAGGTTTTTGCTATAGGGAACGGGCGCTTGCCAGAAAGAGACAGAAAGCGAGAAATCATTTCTCCGGGGAGGTGGCCACACTGCAGTCCCTTCTCCTCCATTCTCCTCTTGGGATCTTGGGCATGCACGCACACACGCCCAATGTGAGTTTAAGCCACTGAGTCCGGGACTCGAACCACAGTTGACTACATGGGAGTCCAGCGACATAGCCATTATGCCAACTGCTGGTCCCAACAGCAATTAATTTAAAAATGATTTACCTTATGACAGTTTTGTACTACAGAGTCAAATTAAGAAGGTAAGATTACTTTGATTAAACTTGGTCCCTTTAAACCAAATTTGTGACTAATCTTATGATTTCAAAAATTTTTCCCATTAAAATACATAATTTCTGGGGGCTAGCAGGTGGCGTGTTGGTTAAGGGCACTGGACTCCCACATGATCGGCCATGATTTGAGTCCCGGCCCTGGCAGCTTGCTTTCTCACTTTCTCTCTCTCTCTTGCTCTCTCTCTCTCTCTCTCTCTGGTCTAATTAAAAAAATATATTTAAATAAATAAGAAAGTTAAAATAATTTTGAAAAAAAAAACACATAATTTCTGAGGTTATAGTACTTTCGATGTAGATTAAGGTTTCATTATTATAAAATGTGTCCACCATGTCAATCAAAAAATACTGTTTTGCTTCTATTTCAGATGAACTAACTTATATACTAAAGCTAATTAGAATGTAGCTGGTGAAGACAGTGGGTACTTAAAGGACAGTATCATGGTTAAAAGCCACTTTTCTTTAAATAAGTAGCTATCTTAATGTGATTTGCTTATCTTGTTACATATTTATTTATTTATTTTACTTTGACCAGAGAGAGATGGAGTGAAAAAGAAAGGGAAAAGGAGAAAGCAAGCTGCCAGGTCTGGGCTGGGCTCAGACTGTAGTCAGCCATGTGGGAGTCCAATGCCCTTAACCACAACGTTACCTGCTGGCCCCATGTATTTATTTTTAAAAGCGTATTTTAAAATGGTTTTAGAGACAGTGACTGAGTGGTTAAAGCAAAAATCAAATATGCACAAGAGACAATAGAACAAATTCCTTGGGTTTAAATCCTACTCTCCCACTTTTGAGCTGTGAGACTTTGGGCAGGTTTCTTCATCTCTGGTCTTGTAGGATTAAATGAATTAATACAGGTGATGTACAGAGAACAATTCTGGCACATTGTAGATGCTCTGGTGTTAGTTTCTTTTAGGATCCCTCCTCATTCTTATTGACCAGGTTGATAAGTCTAGAAAGTTCCTCAGTTCCACGTTGCACCCAAATAAATGAAAGTCACTGAGTGAGTGACTTTCACACAAGCCCATGTGTTGGCCATAGTGGTGGGGGTTGGAGTTAAAGTTAGGGAGACAGGTAGAGAAAGGTAGGCTTTGATTGATGGGGGTGGGATAGGGGCCAGTGGCAGCCTTTGATTGTTTTAACCATTACTTTGTCTTAGGAGATAGTATAGGTAAATTTGACTAATTCCAGTCTACCAAGGTGCTTTTTCTTAATTTATTTTTGTTGTTATTATTTTAATTAAGTTCTTATTTAGTAGTGATAGTTTTACACTTTTGGATACAAGTTTTCCTCTGCAACCATCTTCTTATATAATGAAAGTATTGCCGGATATAGTCTCTTTGAACTATAAGATTTTGCTAATTGTCTTTTAACTGAATTCTAGTTAGCATTGCTAAATAAAGACCAGAGATATAAAATGGGAGATTTGCACTGGAAAACTCAGTTACTCTACAGCTAAAAACTAGCTGTGATTAAGTATTAAAAATAAGCCTGTAATTACAAGATGATTCACATTTTTTAGTATTTTAGGAAATTATATCCAGTGAGTATCTAACTTTTAGATTTTAAATGGTTTTAAAAACATTGATTGGTAGAGTAGGCGTCTCCAACCTGCTGGATGTCTGGAAGGGTGTGGTGTCACTTCTGAGAAGTGAGAGCCACCCTGCTGTGACTCAGGGGTAGAGAGGGTAGGGTGAGGCTTTTGTCTCTAAGAGAGTCACTCATTGTAAGTCAAAGGTGGCTTGGCAAGAGGCCCACTTGCCAAGGAACACATAGATAAGTAAGGTGGACTCTCCTCAGATTGAATAAACCTGTATAATGTGAGGTAATCAAAATGGGTGTTGCCATTATGGGGCTAGCACTTTACTGTGTCTCATCTGTGTAAAGCAGTGGACTGTTTCCCTGTAACATACTTGAGTAGTATCAAGAAGGAAGTAAGACGTGATTCTTGCTCTTAAGTAGCTCACAAGAAACCAGTTGCTATGGAATACACCTTATAAGTAGCATGGAGGTTGTGTAGGGTGCTTCAGAAGCAAAGAGGGGAGAGCACCCAGCTAGCAGTTGAAGACATGCCTACTTGGACCCCCCCTTTTTTTAAGAGTTTTATGGGGGCCGGCAGGTGGCGTGGTGGTTATGGACCCCCACATGACTGACTGTGATTTGAGCCCTGGACCTGGCAGCTTGCTTTCTCACTTTCTCTCTCTCTCTCTCTCTCACTGTCCCTTTCTGGTCAAATTAAAATAAATAAATGAAGTTAAGCAAAATAATTAAACGTTTTTTTCTTGTTTTTTTGTTGTTGTTTTGTTTTGTTGTTGCTGTAGGGCATACTCACTAGAAAGACAGAGAGAAAGCAAGAAATCACCCCCCAGTGCGGATGGCCACACCATAATCCCTTCTCTTCTATTCTTTCCTTCTCATGCTGAGTCTAGAACTCCATCTGCAGTCAACTATGTAGGAGTCCAGTGATGTAACAATTACGTCATGTGCTGATCCCTGATTAAGTTTTTTTTTAACCATTAGTTTCAACTTAGTTCTCTAAAAGGTAGTAAATAAGTAGTTGTCATTTCTGGTTGAAATTGCCCTCAAATTTCTATTTTGTCAACTTAAGTACTCCTTAGGGCTTTTCTGTCCTTTAATAAATTATCTTTATTTTCTCTTAAAAGTAGTTTGTAAATTCTGCATACTCATCTTCAATTGGCATTCTCAGATTGAAAGTGTAGTGAATATTGCTCAAGTCTAACATCTTAGTAGAGGTCACTCATATTTACATACTCATACTAGGATTTAGTACTGTGAGTGGGAACAAGGTGCCAGTGCTCCAGCAAGGCCTGAACCCTGTGTGTGTTCTGAAATCCAGGCTCTGCAGCCCTATGACTAAGATGCTGGACCTCTGAGTTTGGGTCAGCCAGGACTCCAATGTGTCATTCTGGTATTTTCATTTTTTCCTGTGTGCATTAACTTGAGAAAAGTTGAAGTACCAGGCTAGACTACTGCAAAATTAAGTTTAAAAAAAAAATACACTGCTTAGCTTGGCAATTTTTATTTTCGAAAAGCTGCGGTCTTTGTTAAGTTGGCTGTTACAAGTGTCCGTGTTTTCCAGCTAGAGGTCTGCAGGAACACACGCTTAAACAGAAATGGGCTTGTTAACTCTGCCAAAAGGGAGACACACACTGGGAACTGTGGGAGATGTTTTATTCTTGTCCAGGGTGATACGGGGAAGACAGGAGGAACCAGAAATTTGCCATTGACAGGATGCTGTCAGAAAGTTGGACAATTCTGTGATTGGATATTTTAATGATAGAAGGTGGGGAGTGGGGGCTAGCAGGTGGCATGGTGGTTAAAGGCGCTGGATTCCCACATGGCCGACCACAGTTCTAGTCCTAGACTTGGCGACTTGCTTTCTCACTTTCCCTTCCTCTCTCTTTGTCTGTCTCTGTCTCTGGCCAAATTTAAAAATAATAATAGTAACAAATGGAATTAAATAAATAATCTTTTTTAAAAAAGGAAGATGGGAAGTGAAGCAAGGTTTAAGCTGTGATTGATCATTCAATTTCTTTAGCTGCGAGATGGGGGTGTGTGGTGATTCTGTAGTTTGCACAGTGACTTTGAATTTGCTTGTACTTAGTCAAAATCTTTTTTTTTTTTTAAAGGTTTTTGCTATAGGACGTGTGCACTTGCCAGACAGACAGAGAGAGACAGAAAGCGAGAAATCACCCCCCAGGGGGGATGGCCACGCCACTATCCCTTCTCCTCCATTCTCCTCTTGGGATCTTGGGCACGCATGCACACGCGCCCGGTGTGAGTTTAAAAAGCCACCGGGTCTGGGACGCGAACTGCGGTCAACTACGTGGGAGTCCAGCAACAGAGTCATTACACTAACTGCTGATCCCTAGTCAAAATCTTTTGGTGGTCTTTTACTTACTTATTTTTGGTCTCATTTCAGCATGGTCACACAGTGACCTTGTCTGATGTCAGTGTTCTGCGAGATTGTTTTATTCAATAGAAAACCTTTGGCATAGCAGAGCCATGAGCACCAGACCAGTGCCCAGGTGCCAGGAGCTGCTTTCCTCTTCTTTCTAAGTATTTCCACGCTGAAGACATGCATCCAACATCTTTTACTTCTACTTGTTCTCTGCCATTTTTATGAATCCTGGTTCTTTTCCCCTGCATAGAATGCCTGTATTATAAAAATTCCAAGCCTGAAAGAAAAATCCAAGTAGAAAGCATCTCGAAGAGAACAAAGTGCAGGAAACAGAAAAATGATACTGTTTTAGAGTAGATTTCAGCTATCCTGACATCTGTCTAGTCTCTTTCTACTTACTATAATTATATTAATCTTTTTGTGGATGGTAGCACTGTCAGGTAGAGGAGGCAGCAGTAAAGATCTGCTCTGGCTGTACTTTGACCAGTGAGGAAAGAGGTTTGTGATAAAGGAGTAATAAAGTCATTGAAGATTTGCCATGTTCATAAAAGGCATGGGGTGATAGTCAAGTATAGTCAGAAAAGCCCTGGTGATCTGAGTAAAGTAGCATTCGAGTCCTTGGGAAAGATGAACCAGCACTCAGAGACAGCCTGAGGCATCACACAAGTGACCTGTGGGGAAGGAAAGCGAGGTATCCTTACAGAGACACAGGTGGATGCCCTGAGTATTACAAGAACAGGGAAACTCCCAGCCAAGGCCGACTAGCACAACTTCCATGTGCTAAGGCATTAGGAAGGCCAAGGTTGGAAGGTATTGATGTAGGCAGTAAGTATCAGAAACACTAGACATGTTTGCTGAAAGCTATATTTAGGATGGGGGAAGAAAAAGAAACAAGGAAGGAACAGGCAGATGGTGTGATGCTAATGTAGGATGGAAAGTGGGACTGCTTGGCTCTTGCTGTGCATGTTTCTTCTCCATCAAAAAAGCTGTTCTTAAAGAATTGAAAAGGGTACAACAAGTGTAGTTAGAGGATTTTTTTTTTTTGAGAGGTTTTTGCTATAGGGCACATGCGCTCGCCAGACAGAGAGAGATAGAGACAGAAAGCGAGAAATCACCCCCCTGGGTGGGGTGGCCACACAACAATCCCTTCTCCTCCATTCTCCTCTTGGGATCTTGGGCACACACGCACACGCACCTGGTGTGAGTTTAAGCCACCAGGTCCGGGACACGAACCGCTGTCGACTACGTGGGAGTCCAGCGACACAGCCATTACGCTAACTGCTGGTCCCATAGTTAGAGGATATTTTGAAGCTGCATGTTTTTGATGAGTTTCTGTGTCACAGTATAGAGTTGGTACCGTATTAAGTCCTTGAGGGGACAGATTTTCAAAAATATCCCTTAGATTAAACCAGAATAATTTTGGAAGCTAATATTCTCTTTCAGTTGTAAGCTTGAGTGAAATTAAAATAATTCTCTTGTCTGTGTATGTACTTTTTAATTTGCCGGAGGTCACTTGTGCTCACTGGCAAGAGACAGAGAGCATTCCCCATAGGGAACGGTCACATCATAATCCCTTTTTCATTTCTTCCTCCTTTTAAAAGGAAATTTGGGCAAGCGTGCATGCATGTGCCTGGTGTGTTTTTGAAGACCCTGGTCAAGGACTCAAACATGCAGCCAACCATATAATATTCAGCCGCTTTAACCACCATACCACAATCTAGTCCTGTTTTTTTTTTTTTTTTTCTTATAGGGCATGTGTGCTTGCTTGAGACACAGACAGCAAGAAATCACCCACTGAGGGGGTCGGCCATGCCTTAATCCTTTCTCTTCCATTCTCCTCTCGGGCTCTTGTGCACACATGCACACACACTTGGTGTGAATTTTCAGTCACTGGATCTGGCACTTGAACTATAGTCAACCATGTGGGAGTCCAGCAACATAACCATTACGCCATCTGCTGGTTCCTGTCTGTCCTTTTTGTACAAGAATTCAGGGGTCTATGTTGAAAGAGGAAATTTGTCAGTTTTTTTTGGAACAAAGAATTGAAAGCATTGTTTTAAACTCTGGACATGTCACTTCTAAAATTTGTGACTGGAGTGGCCTCATCCAGATACACAAAGTAGTCAGGAATTGAAGGTCTTATGTCAGCAAGTGTTCATTTCAGTGATGCAAGTCCATAAAATTCAAACCATACTTCGAGAATTGTTGAGGAAATAGGAGCAACATTTCTGTATAAGGGACTTTTAATGTTAAGGCAGTATTAAGATTTTCAGCTCATCGGTAGTACAGTGGTTAATTGTTTTGCATTTGGAGTCAAATCCCATGTGGTTGACTCAGGTTAGAACCCTGTCCTCTGAGGCTTGAAAAATATTTTAGGCGCCTGTGTGCCCAAAATCCTGACATGAAGGATTAATGGAGGAAAAAGGATTGCAGTGTGACCAGGCCCTGGTGGAGGGTTGGGGGATTCCTCCCTAGCCCTCCTAGAAGTGCATGTAAACACAAAAAATATCAGCTGTCAGACCTGGCTGTGTTCTCAGAGAACTGTATTTTACAGACAGATGCCTTTCATGGCTTCTGCTGGGCTGCATCTAAGAACTCAGACAGAGCTCTTGGATGGATGTACTCGATAATGGATGCCAGCACATTGAGTATACCTTTATGTTAAGGAACACTTCTTTTTCTTTCTTTTTTTTTTTTCTTTTTTCTTTTTTTGGAGAGGTTTTCTTTTCTTTTCTTTTCTTTTTTTTTTTTTTCCTTATTCAGCGTGTGTGCTCACCAGAGAGAGACAGAGAGAGAGAAAGTGAGAAATCACCCCCCAGAGGGGATGGCCACGCCGCAATCCCTTCTCCTCCATTCTCCTCTCGGGATTTTGGGTGCACACATGTCCAGTGTGAGTTTAAGCCACTGGGTCCAGGACTTAGACCACGGTCAACTACATGGGAATCCAGCGACATAGCCATTACGCTAACTGCTGGTCCCATTTCTTTTTTTATTTTAAGAGAGATTTTTGCTATACGGTGCCTGTGATCACTAACCAAAGAAACAGACAAAAAGTGAGAAATCACCCTGGGGGGTGGGGAAATGGCCACACCGCAGTCCCTTCTCCATTATCCTTCTGGCAGTTGGCATCGAAGACTTGTTAAATCATTACCTGCTTTTGGATCCCTCGCAGGGTTGAGACAGAATTCTGAAGAACCAATAACAGGTTATATTGATTTTATTTCCCCCAGTTTGTACTAAACTCAAACAAAGTTCTCATACATTACTAGGTTGGAGAAACCTATGGTAAGGATATAACCTCCAGGGGGAAAGACAAGCCAATTGCCGTATGTAAAACTTTCGATCGACTTCAGTTTCAAGCTTTATCTTTTCTCTCGTTTCACTTAGTTTTCCTAGGATTTCTTTTTTAACCTCAAGTTCCTTGAGTGTTTTATAGTTAATTCACTCAAGGTTGGGGCTTTGCTTGATGAATTAAGCTTTTATTAGAGTGTGCAGTTTACCTACCTGCTTGAATTAATAAAGCAGTGTGGGAACTGCTTTCTCCCTCCTCCCAAGTGATAAGAGGGATAGTGATAGGGCCTCTCTCCCACGGGTGGGAGATGCAGGTGTGGAAGTCCCCATGAAGCTCACTGGGGCTGTGTGCTGAGCTGGAGCAGAACTAACCTTTGCTGCCAGGGCCTTCTTTCTCTGCTTTGGTGTCCTGTATGATGGGGCAGTGGGGCGTGGCTGCAGCGCTGGTGAGCTAACCCAGCTGTGCTTTGAGATACATTGTAATCACCTCGGAAGCGGGATGCCATGGTGATTCTTCGACAAGCTTGTGCATGTGCCACTATTTTAAAAATGTTATTTATAAGAGCTCTTGTGTGGGATGTGTCTTTCCTTTTCAGGTACAAGATATCCGCTGGATGGTTTATAGTGTTAGCCTTAGAATTTTGTGCATTTCACAAAGTAGCATAAGCATCTTTTCCCAGGAAAGTGTTTTATAAATCTAGCATTTTAGAAACTTGGGCATTTTCAAATACAAGTAAATATTTGAATTTGACCTCATACACAATACAGAATAAAAAGGAAAACTCAACTTTATTTCACATTTAGCCAAAAATTCTGTCCAAGTCTTTAGTCTGTGCCTAATTTTCCTTTGCATCTCAGCTTTAGCGATAGCTGCTCTGGGTGCTAGTTCTCCAGAGTTACTGGTTATATGAGAAGCTGTGACCGTGTGAGGGTAGTTATCAGCTGAATACCATTTCCACATTAGGCCATCGTTCCATACTGAGGAAAGGGCTCAGTCAGCAGATACTTGAGCCCTGCCCCCTTCCTCCTACTTTGTGTCGGGGACTGTGGCAGGCAGTTCCTAAAGAAGTAGTTTAATTGGATCTGATTATGATCTAAAACTGTGTGTGCTTAACATGCAAATGGGAAGCTTAATGAAAAGGGTATAATTTGTAGATAATGTTTAAAAGTCAGATCTGCCCTTGGGAAAGCGAGAGACAAAATTTTTACAGAAATAGAATAGTATCATCCTATTTGGTTTAGTCTTATTGTAACTAGGCTTCTGGTCAAGAATTGGGAATGATGGAAAGGGGGCCTTCCAGGGATCTGAGTTGATGCCTTCCCTAACCTTGAATAGCTTCCAGCATATTTCTCCCTCTGTTTCCCCCTCTCACAAGTTAACTGGTTGCTTGATGTGCTGGTTCTGATTTGAAAGCCATCTGAGGAACTGAATGGGCCTTTCCAGGGAACAAAGTTTTTTCTTTTTTCTTTTTTTTTAAAAGATTGATTGACTTTTATTCATCCATTCATTTTATTTTAATTTGACTAGAGAGAGACACAGAGAGAGAAAGAGGGAAAGTGAGAAAGGAAGCCACCAGGTCCGGGACTTAAATCGTGGTCAGCCATGTGGGAGTGTCCAGCACCTTAACCACGATGCCACCTGCTGGTTCCCAGGAGCAAATTTTTGGTGTAAGCTACGTGTATGGAGTCACCAGGACTGATGATTCATTCATTCATTCCCCACAGCATTTAGAAAGCCAAGTGCATTCATTATTTTAAGGTGGTTTTCTAAGTGTTTCCCTGTGTTTCCTTTTTATAGGATGTATTCTTAATTTGCTTTTCCCTTGTGAGTCCTGCATCATTTGAAAATGTCCGTGCAAAAGTAAGTGGGGATTTAAAAAATATACTGTTACATAATATTCTCAGAAAGAAATACTTAAAAATAAAATAGCATTTGTGCTAGGAATTTCAGTGATTTAAATTGGTTTTAGTAATTTTTGACTAGAGAGAGACACAGAGAGAGAAAGAGGGAAAGTGAGAAAGGAAGCCACCAGGTCCGGGACTTAAATCGTGGTCAGCCATGTGGGAGTGTCCAGCACCTTAACCACGATGCCACCTGCTGGTTCCCAGGAGCAAATTTTTGGTGTAAGCTGCGTGTATGGAGTCACCAGGACTGATGATTCATTCATTCATTCCCCACAGCATTTAGAAAGCCAAGTGCATTCATTATTTTAAGGTGGTTTTCTAAGTGTTTCCCTGTGTTTCCTTTTTATAGGATGTATTCTTAATTTGCTTTTCCCTTGTGAGTCCTGCATCATTTGAAAATGTCCGTGCAAAAGTAAGTGGGGATTTAAAAAATATACTGTTACATAATATTCTCAGAAAGAAATACTTAAAAATAAAATAGCATTTGTGCTAGGAATTTCAGTGATTTAAATTGGTTTTAGTAATTTTACTGTTCAGGTACATACTATTTTTAGAGTCTGTTATTTTAGCATGTAGATTTCTGAGAGCAGAGCTGTAGTGATCAGAGATGTTTTCCAGGGGAAGGCAATAGTGGTAGAGCTGGGACCTCACTCTAGATGATTTATTTATTCTCATCCCTGGGTTGATGAATTTTCTGAGGTGGTCTTAAGAACTTGACTTATTTTACCAAACACAAAGTGATTTCATTTTAAGAAACTTCCTTCCTGATATTACTTGACAAAGTCGAATTGCTGTGTTGAGTCATTAATCTGGGATTCCTGGCTTGCTAGATACCCACAATACTCCTTGCCATTCTTGAAGGCTTGAATTGAAGATATGAAATGCATGAAGGCTATAGAGAAGGCAGTGACTGAGGTTGGGTGGTGGGCACAGTTTGACACCTATTGAATGTCATTTAGGTGAAAAAGATGTTTATACAGGAGGGTATTCCAACCTGTGTTCCTTTCTTTACATCTAGTGGTATCCTGAAGTACGACACCATTGTCCCAATACTCCCATCATTCTAGTGGGAACTAAACTTGATCTTCGAGATGATAAGGACACGATTGAGAAACTGAAGGAAAAGAAACTGACTCCCATCACCTACCCACAGGGTCTAGCCATGGCTAAGGAGATCGGTATGAAATCCTACATTTTTCCTGTTGTTTGCCATGCCTTTTATTTTAGTGACAAAAGCTCAGGTCTAATCTGAGAAAGTAGCAAGCGTTTGTCCTTATCAGGGTCTAGCTTACTTGTGGGAAAACAGTTGGAGCAAGGCCCTTCTGGCTCTTACTGAGAGCCTCTTAAAGGTGGAGGCAGGGCTAGGAGTTGCCTCTGCTGTGCTGTCATGCCAGCCAAAGGTACTAGGTTTCAGGCAGGCTGCTTCTCGCCATTGTTCTGGTCAGAAGGGAGTTGTGTGGCATGTACATTGCTGTGTGGTTGTGTTTCTTTTAGGTGCTGTAAAATACCTGGAGTGCTCAGCGCTCACACAGCGAGGCCTCAAGACAGTGTTTGATGAAGCTATTCGAGCAGTTCTCTGCCCACCTCCTGTCAAGAAGAGGAAGAGAAAATGTCTGCTGTTGTAAATGTCTGAGTCCCTCGTTCTTGGTCCTGTCCCTCAGAACCTTTGTATGCTTTGCTCAAGAACGGTGGAGCCTTTGCACTCAATGCCAAGTTTTTGTTACAGATTAATTTTTCCATAAAAGCATTTTGAACCAATAATTTTAAGGTTTTTGTTTTAAACTTAAGAGTACAAACTCACATTCTATTAAAATTTAGCTCTAAAATGACAAGCCTTCTTAAAGCCTTATTTTTCAAAAGCCCCTATTTCTTGCTCAGAATAAGAGTTGCCAAAATACCTTCTGAACTAAGTTGCATTGTTGTGCTAAGAACACTAAGCACTAAACTGTTTAAAGACCTTTGTCTTTAAGAAGACTAGTTTCTGATGTTAGGAGAGGCAGACACTTTCTAAGGAGTTTTTGGATATGTAAAGCAGAACAGCCTCCTTAATGAAATGTTGCCATTTAATGCATCAATAATTTATCAACCCATGTTCATTACATAACCTTGTACTGTATATTATCATAGAATGAGTCTAACAGCTCAACTCTCTGGATCAATCTGTTTGATTTTGTAGTGAATATTTTTTAAAAAAAGTAGTTGACTAGCTTTTGCTGCGATTTTGAACAGAATTCTTATTCATGTGTTTCCCTTAATGAAGTATTCTGTTCTTAGTCGTGGGTGTGCTGGGATGGAGTGTGTGAAACACTTGATGTGATCAAAGGATGAAGACAGTATTTTGACAAAATTTTAAGTGGTTATTAATTTACACTACACTGTACATGGAATAATTAAACTGAATAAAAGTGTCACGGGTAAAAAATTTTAAAAGGTTAATTTCTGTCATAAGCAGTAGATGATGAAGAAAGGTCGTTATTACCAGTATGTGTTTTCCTAAGCTTTTTCTTACAGCTCCCTCCCATAATTGGGCATTTAATTCATCTTTGAACTGGTCATTCCCATAGTTGCTAACTTAGTAAGTGCATTTCTTATAGAGCCCCTTCTTAATGAGCAATATGCCTCCTTGTATTATAAAATCTTTCTGATAATGCATTAGACTTTTTTTTGTAGATTAGTAAAAGTGCATTCCTGTTTTCATGTTGCTTTATTCAAGGCTAATAAGTGCTTTCCTTAGTTTTCTAGTAACTAGGTGTAAAAATCATGTGTTGCAGCTTTACGGTTTTTAAAATATTTTAGATATTCTAAACTATGAACCTTCTTAACATCACTGTCTTGCCAGATCACCAACAATGCCTGAGGATACTTGAATTTTTGAGAACTTGAACATGCTCCTGGTGTGTGTGTGTGTGTGTGTGTGTGTGTTTGCCTCACTTTAAAATCCTGGGTTGTTGGGGGGCATCCATTTTCTTTTTTTTTTCTTTTGAGAGATTTTCACTGTAGGAGGGCGCGTGCGCTCGCCAGACAGACAGAGAGAGACATAGAGACAGAAAGCGAGAAATCACCCCCCAGGGGGGATGGTCACACCGCAATCCCTTCTCCTCCATTCTCCTCTCGGGATCTTGGGCATGCACGCACACGCGCCTGGCGTGAGTTTTAAGCCACCGGGTCCGGGACGCGAACCGCGGTCGACTACGTGGGAGTCCAGTGACATAGCCATTACGCTAACTGCTGGTTCCCTAGGGGGGGGCATCCATTTTCAATGCATGTTTTCACATTGGAAAAACGGAGAGATTGGCAAGTCCACAGGTAAACATCACCACAAGGGTGGGAGGTGCTGGTTGAGTTTGGACCATTTGAATGGTGGTGAGATGCTCATACGGAGATAAACCCATTTTGGGTCAGAGCTCAGGTCAGAATGTGTAGATATTGGAAGCCCTGCAGATTTTGGATGGGCTGGGTTGACTGACTCTACAACCGTAAGATCCTTTTTGGAGTCTGGATATGCACTATAAAAAGGTACATGTTAGAATAAGTTTTCTTAATAGTCCTTTTTTTTTTTTTTTTTTTTTTGCTTTGAAGTTTTTTGTTTGTTTGTTTTAATACAAGCCTAAAGGTTTATTACAAAAACAGCGGTCTTTCTCTTTTATATTTTCTCAGGCAGTACTTTCAGCTCATTTTATTTTCACTTTTGGAGAGAATACTGCTATAGGGCACGTGCACTCACTCACCAGACAGCAAGAAATCACCCCCCCAGGGGAGATGGCCACACCGCAATCCCTTCTCCTCCATTCTCCTCTTGGGATCTTGGGCATGCACGCACACACGCCCAGCGTAAGTTTAAGCCACTGGGTCCGGGACTCGAACCATGGTCAACTATGTGGGAGTCCGTCGACATAGTCATTACGCCAGCTGCTGGTCCCTAAATGTATTTGTTGTGGGGACCAGCAAGTGGCGTGGTAGTTAAGGCGCTGGACACTCTCACATGGTTGTTTGCAGTTTAAATCCTGGACCTGGTGTCTTGCTTTCTCACTTTCCATCTGTGTGTGTCTCTCTGGTCAAATTAAATGGATGAATAAATAATTTAAAAAATGTATTTGTTGTTATTTTTGAGCCACTGGGTCCAGGACTTAAATCCATGGTTGGCCACGTGTGAGTCCAGTGCCTCAGCCACTACATTGCTTGCCAGCCCACAGATGTGTAATCTATTTTAGTAATTTTCATTTTCCTAGTTTCACCTGCCTTGCACCTCTTTTCTGTGTTGACCTTTTATTTTTCTGTATCCCAACTTGTTTGAATTACTTAATTTTGCTGAATAGCTTCTCCAAAAGCTTCCTGAGAAAAGTGTGTTTGGTAAGTATGTATGGCTTTTTTTGGAGAGGTTTTTGCTATAGGGCGCGTGCGCTCGTCAGACAGAGAGACATAGAGACAGAAAGCGAGAAATCACCCCCCAGGGGGGATGGTCACGCCTCAATCCCTTCTCCATTCTCCTCTTGGGATCTTGGGCACGCATGCACACACGCCCGGCGTGAGTTTTAAGCCACCGCGTCCAGGACGCAAACCGTGGTTGACTACGAGGGAGTCCAGCGACAGCCATTACACTGACTGCTGGCTCCTGTAAGTATGTATTTTTGAGCTTTGCTTCTTTGAAAGTAACTTCTATACTTTCAGCTGGACTTTAAATTCTAGGCTGATAATAAATTCCCTTCAGATTATTGAAGCTAGGTTTTTCATTGTCCTTAATTTCTATCACATTGGGATATAATTTTTCTTATTTATGAATCTTGAGATTCTCTTTACATTTTCTATGTCCTAGGACTTGTCTTTGTTCATTGTTCTCTGCTTAGTAGGCTCTTTCCATCTGGAAACTCATCTTTCAATGTTCTGTTCTTTCTAGAACAATTACTCAGATATTAGACCTTCTGGAATGGTTCCTAACCTTTTTCATTCCCCAGTTTTGTCTTTTACTTTGAGCTTTTGATTTTATCTCTCTGCTTTTACTTTTTCAGGTGTACTTTTTTTGTTCTCTCTGTATATCCACTTTGGGGCCAGTGATTTCAGTTTGGTTCCCACACCTGGTGGCTTGAGAAACACACTAGGTACTTGTGACCCAAATCGTGAAAGAAGATAGAAGGGATTGTAACATGACTATGCCCTCGGTTGGGGTGATGGTGGTGGTGGTCCTTTGTCACTTTACCCTTTTTCTCTAATGAGCTCATAGGTCCTCTAGCAAATTAAAAAAAAATTTCTAGTTGCCTGGATTTCTAGTTCTGTGATTTTAACACTGGTCTTGTGTTCCAGGTCAGGTGGTTGGTGTCATTTGGGCTGTCAGTCTACCTCATCTTTGTTACTTTTTACTCTCTTCCTCAAGGGCAGTGCTCCTTTGCTTACAGGTTGAAGTTGGAAACTGAACACAAGGGCGTATGCCACTAGTGTAGGGAGACAGGTCTGTTTTCTGTCACTAGGTAGTGCAAGCATTGTGTTGAGAAATAAAAGTAGCTAAACAGTCCTGTGGCACTTTTTTAAAAAGAATTATTTTATAACTTTATTTTAATTTGATCAGAGAGGGACAAAGTAAGAGAGAAAGTGAAAAAGCAAGCCACCTGGGCCGGGACTTGAACAGCAGTTGGCCATGTGGGAGTCCAGTGTCCTTAACCACCACACCACTTGCTGGCCTCTCTTTTTTTTTTATTTTTAAAGATTGTTTTTCACAGAATTACTTAGTTTTTTAATTTACTTATATTTATTCATTATTTTATTTGACCAGAGGACATAGGGAAAGTGATAAAGCAAGCCAGCCACCAGGTCCAGGTCTCAAACTGGTCAGCCATATGGGAGTGTCCAGCACCCTAATCACCACGTCACCTGTTAACTTTCTTTTCTGTGGCATCTCAACTGAAGTGTTTTTTTTTTTTTTTTTTGAGCGCATGCAGTCACCAGATAGTGAGTTGGAGGGAGGGAAGAAGGGAGAAAGCACCCCCTCCCTCTCCATTGGAGCTTGGTCACACCATAATCTTATCCTGTATTATCTTCATCCCTTTAAGATTTGGAGTACACACATCCATGCCACGCACCCAATGTTTTTCAAGCCATGAACAGTGGTTAGCCACGTGGAATCTGATTCCCTGTGCACAGGCTGTGCTACAATGTGATTCCCTGTGCACATGCTGTGCTACAGGCCAGCCCCCCCAGCCTTTTTTTTTGTCACAGGGTACATTGCAGGGGAAGGGAGTGGGGGGAGTAGTCAGAAATCAACTCCCAGGGTGAACAGCTATACTACATTCCCCTCCTCCCAGGTTTTTGGGCACATAGGCACATGTACTCAGGTGATTTTCAAGCAACCAGATCTGGGGCTTGAACCTCAACTAGCAGAGATTTAGAAATTGTCCCTTGAGTCCAGCAGGTGGCATGGTGGTTAAGATGCTCAACTCCTGCATGGCTGACCATAGTTCAAGTCCCAATCCTGGTGGTTTGCTTTTTCACTTTTTCTGTCTCTTTTGTCAGATTCTAAAAATAATAAAACAAATGGAATTAAATCTTTAAAAACAAAAAAACAGACCAGCAGATGGCATAATAGTTATGTTGCTGGATTTCCACATGGTTGACTGTTTTGAGTCCTGGACCTGGTGGCTTAAAATCAGGCCAGGCATGTGTGCTTGCATGCCCAAAATCCCAAGAGGAGAATGCAGAAGGGATTGTGGAGTAGCCAACCCCTGGCGGGGGGATGATTTCTTGCTTTCTCTGGTGAGCACATGTGCCCTATAGCAAATATCTCAAAAGTAAATAGAAAAACATTGTCTCTTTCTAGGTTTTCCATAGCCATAAGGTGATATGGCTGCAACAGCTGAGAGGAACTGAGGGAGGTATCTCTTGCAGTTAGATTTCCCTGAAAGTCATGAAAACGAAGTACAGGGGCTTGAGGAAAGGTCACCCCCTCAGCAAACAAAAGGCAGGTTTCTTCCAGTGTCCTAGCAAACCCCTCAGGTTGGCTGTTCCTGGTCTGCTTCATGCCCACTTTACAAGGGTGTGGGGACTCATTTATGACCAGGTTAGGGGTCTTTCCTTCAACCTTGGCACTTTTTTTCCCAGCTATCTGATTGCCTCTCCCCGTCCTTGTGGGCATAATCTTTTTAGAGAAACCATTTTACTGTCTTTGGGCTTCAGTGGGTAGAGTGGGAGGGCAGTGAAATCCAGTACTTGTGCAATCTTTGATCCTTGGCCAGAACTCCAAGAAAACTTCCAAGATTTCATTTTCGCTCGTCATAAAACCTACCTGGAAACATCCGACTTAAGAGCTCATAGCTGTTCAGATGCTGTAATGATAATATAAGAGGTTTATTTTTTTAAAACTCTGAATCCCATTAGTGGACCCTCAGTGCATGAGAATTTAAACAACCGACTCTTGCTGTCGACACACATCTTGGCGTGTAAACAAAGGGCTGGAATATGTGGCTTGGAGGTGGGCAGGAGTCATGGTCTCTTCTCATTGCCCTGACCAGGACTGCCCTGATTCCCAGTCAGATCCCAGGCTGCCAGTAGTACCCACAGCAGAAATCCCGTCAGCACCCTCACAACTGAGGACCAATTTCATAGCCAGGGGGAGGGGGAAAAGTTGGAAAAACTACACACCTGTAAGCCTGGCTCAGACTTGTCTATATGGTGATAGGATAAGATCTTTCAGTAAAAACAGGCTGCCTGAGGGGTGGGAGTCAACAGATAACCTTCAGGTTCTTCAAACTAGCCACTGGATTCCCACCCTTCGGGCAGATCTCAGATGGCCAAAAGATCCAAGAGCCAGGGGAACAGGCTTCCTGAAGCTTCCAGTGCGGTCACTCCCAATCCTGGGAGTCTGAACCTCTTTGGCACACCCTACAGACTCCTGATTCTGCTAAAACTATGGTCACAGTTATTTCCCAGAAATTGTTCAGTCATCTGGAAGACTATCAAATGTATCCACAGATTGTTGATGGATATCCAACAGTGGCCTCACTGGAATCCTTTGGACATTAAGTTAGTTTAAGAACTAAAGTGTGTGTATTGGAGTGGGAGCAGCAGATGGCACGGAGATTAATATGTGGGATCCAGCATGGCTGATTGCATGGTTCGAGTCTTGAAAATCATGCCAGGTGTGTGTGCATGCATGCCCGAAGTCCTGAGAGGAGAATGGAGAAGGGACTGTACTGTGGTCATTCCTCCTGGGGGGTGATTTAACAGTCCTATCCCCACCCATCCACAGTCTCTTCTCCAGCCAAGTGCACACGCCCTATAGCAAAACTAAATAAAATGCAGGAGTCCCCCCATTGCTGGGGCATTTTCCAGTAGCCCTGGTCATGCCACGTCCAAGGTGGAGACCCCCTGTGCTGGGCAGGAGACACATGCCGCTCTGTCGGAGACCACACTGTCCAAGGCTCTCATCAGAATGTCTGGCATGTGGTCTGTTAGCATCTTTGGGCCTATGAGTATTTTGCTGAATTCCACTTCATGTGACCACTTTGCACGGTACTGAGCAGTAGAACAGCAGCCAAACCTTAAATGGGAGAGAACAAGCATCAACCAGTGAAGCTTCCAACGCTACCTAACCTCCGACACGTGTTCTCTCTAAATGAGGGGGATGGACCCCATCACTCCACACTCACCTCCCGGAGCTGCCCTCTTCCTCCAGGTGGATGATCCTGCCAGGAGGGTAAAGAGGAGGGTACTTGGGGGGAGAGTCCAGAGGGGAGTCGCTGGAGAAGCTGTATCCTGGGGACCAGTGTGTCAGCAGACTTTGCTCCCCAAGAAGAGGCTGTGTCAGATCACCCTGGTCACCTCCATCTAGCTCAGTTGGGAAGTTATCGGGGCTCCCTCCGAACAGTTCATACCAGCATCCATGCAGCAAGATCTTGTACTGAGGATGAGACCCAAGAAGGCAAAAGGCTGTTACTCAGGCATTCACTGTCCACAGAGACCTCAGGCGGGAGCTGAGAGGCTCCTGCTTGTGGGGTATCTCTTGGGCAATGAAGCCATCACACTTAAGCAGTATTTTAAAACCAAATGATGCAGATTTGGGGGCAAAGTTATACTTAATTCTTTTCAGACAATTCTGTAAATCAGTTTTACCCTCCCTTTAAAGACATTAGATACTGGGACCAGCAGTTGACATAATGGCTATGTTGCTGGACTCCCGTGTAGTCGACCGCAGTTTGAGTCCTGGAACTGGTAGCTTAAACTCATGCCAGGCACATGTATGTGTGTGTGCCCAAGATCCCGAGAGGAGAATGGAGAAGGGACTGTGGAGTGGCCATCCCCTTTGGGGGGTGATTTCTTTCTTTCTGTCTCTCTGTCTTTCTGGTGAGTGCACGCACCCTATAGCAAAAACCTCTCCAGAAAAAAAAAAAGACATTAGATACTCATTTTAAAAATTAGGGCACCTGTACTGGTGAGAGAAGGAGAGGGAGAAAGCACCTGCCATGGAGCAGGCACAGAACCTGTAACTAAAATCTATTTTTTTGAGAGGAGAGATTTTTGCTATAGGGTGCATGCACTTGCCAGAGAGACAGAGAAGAAAATGAGAAATTATCCCCTGGGGTGGGGGGAGGGACAGCCACACCACAATTCCTTTTCCTCCATGCTTTCGGGACCTTGGGCACACATGCAGATGCATCTGGCATGAAGTTGAAGCCACCAGGTCTGGGACTCACACCACGGTCAACTAAGTGATGGTCCAGCATTATAACCATTACGTCATCTGCTGGTCCCAAGAAAATCTAAAAAAAAAACCAAAAAACAACAAAAAGCAACACAACTAACTCTTCAATATATCAGGGATATCTGTACTGGTAAATAGAAATGTCTACTACCATTTTATATAACTGCATAGTATTCATGTATGGACACACCAGCCTACCTCCATCCCTTTCTCTTATAAAAGGGAGGACAGAGAGAGCGTGGGGGAAGAGGACAGAGAGAGCGTGGGGGAAGGTTCTTTTTGTTTTGTTTTGTTTTATTTTTTAAAGGTTTTTGCCATGGGGCATGTGTGATTACTAGAGAGAGAAACAGCGAGAGGGCAAGTGAGGAATCACTCCCCCAAAGGGGATGGCCACACTACAATCCCTTTTCCTCGGATTTGGGGCATGTGCACACACATGTAAACACACACACACACACACACACATGTGCCCAGCATTTTCATGCTGCCAGGTCCAGGACTCATGCAGCAGCTGGCCATGTAGGAGTCCAGCATGTTAACCACTATGCTAGGTGTAGGGTTTTTTTGTGTTTTTTTTTCGGGGGGGGGGAGATTTTTGCTATAGGGCGCGTGCGCTCGCCAGACAGGGAGAGACAGAGAGACAGAAAGCGAGAAATCACACCCCCCCCAGGGGGGATGGCCACGCCACAATCCCTTCTCCTCCATTCTCCTCTCGGGATCTTGGGCACGCGTGCACACATGCCTGGCGTGAGTTTAAGCCGCCGGGTGTGGGACTCGAACCAGGGTCGACTACATGGGAGTCCAGCGACATAGCCATTACACTAACTGCTAGTCCCTAGGTGGGGTATTTTTGACAGTGTCACTATGTCCTGATCTTCTAACCCAGCCTCCCAGTCAGGACACAGGCATGTGTCACTGCACCTGGCCTGTTTAGGGAAACTGAACCTAATCTTCCGTGTGGTCTCAATCGCTTGTGGCAGCACATTCGCATGTGCACCGCCCCAGCTGGCCCAGTGTTTTTGTCTTTGTTTTTTTTTTTTTTAATGCCTGAGGGTACACATGCGTAGATGAGACAGAGAGACAGTGAAAGCAGCCCCTCAATGGAGCCTGGTCATGCCATAATCTTTTTTCCTCTAATTCTTCATCCCATCAGGATTCTGGGCAAGGTGTGTGTGTGTACACAGTGTGTCAGCCACCAGGGGCCAGGACCAGACTCTGGTTAATAACATGGGACCTGCCTTCCTCTGCACAGTGCTTTCACTGCTGCACTACAGGGCTGGCCTCAGTTCCTCTTAAAATCTGTATTTAGTTGGCCGGCTCCATGGCACAGCAGTAATGTGCTGCTCCAAACAAGGCAGATCTCAGACAGCAACCGTGGCTTGACTTCCCACCTGGTCAACTTGAAACATGCTGGGCACATGCAAGTGTTCAAGACCACAAGGGTTGGAGGGGATTGCAGCATGACCAGACCCTGTCCAGGATGCTTGTCTCTTCCCCTCCGTCCCCACCTCTCTCTCTCAAATGCTGCAGCGCTTGCTCTATCATGCGTTTAAAAAAATCTGTGTTTGGCGGCTTTAGTTTTTGAACTTTAGGACAATATAACCAAAAGGATTAGAATACTATCAGTCACAGGACGGGACTGAAAAGTTCGACAGAAAGCACATCATTCAACTAGAACAGGGGTGGTTCTATTATATTATTTTCTTTTTGTGGCATTTCAGGTATTTGCTTTGGCCATTTGCTTTCTTCAACATCACATACAGAGTCCTACATAAAAATTTGTTCAAAGGGTAGAAGGAAAACTTCCAGCAGCAGCATAACATGCCTGGGCTAAAAGACTGTGAAGGAGACCATGCCTCTTAAGTCACACACAGTCTCAGGGACAGGTCCAAATTTCCCACAGATCTTACCAGGGCATTCCGAGTTACCTTAGGCTTATTACAGTGAGCAATCACTCTCAAGATTCTTCTCTTCAAATCTTCCAAGTTGGTCACACTTAACCTGTTTAGTAAAGAATGAGACTGGGGCTCAGCCGGTACTTGGCATTGGCAGCTTCCCCCACCCTCAGTCACCACAGGCAAGCTTACCTGGGAATCACGTCCTTCCCTAGAACAAGTGACACAATGAAGCTCTGAGAGTATTCAGAAAGAGATTTGCTGAATTTCAAAAGAAAAAAGGAAAAGGAAAGCTAAGTTAGTTTAATTATTACATTGCCCAAAGAGGGCTTCAAAGAGAAAAACTGAGTTGTGTTGCCAGGTCAGTGAGACGCTAAGATTTTACATTGGGTCATCAGAAAAGTCATGATGATTTTTGCACAGAAAACAGAAAAATATGTCATGACTTTCCTGATGACCCAAGAGAACTCAACTCTGCTCTGAGAGGGAAGAGAAATGAGATGTCAGAGCAAACCACTGGCCAGATTCTACTAAAGCCATAATATAAATTCAACAGACACCCCCACACTACACTTTCTAACTGTATCAAGATAAGAGACTATGCATATGCATTTGTCCATTGACCCAGAGAACCACTTGGAAGAATCTATCCAAAACGTACTGGCAAGGGCTGGCAGATAGCATGGTGGTGAAGGTGCTGGACCCCCACATGGCCAACCGCAGTTTGTTTCGGACATGGTAGCTTGTTTTTTCTCTCTCTCTCTCTGGTCAAATTAAGGAAAAATACTTACAGTAAACAAAATTAAATAAATAATTCCAAAAAAAAAAATACTGGCAAAATATAAAAAGGCCAATGTAAAAGCTATTCGTTGCAGTGTTACTCGTAATAGCAAAGGCTGGAAAACACTCAAATGTTCATCCATAAAGAAGTGTATTCAGTTCATAAACTATCCACATAATAATGAGTCCTTCACAGCTGTCAACAAGAATGAGGGTTATTTATACCATTATGGGGTGATCTCAGGGTACACAGTTAAAGCCAACAATAATGAGACAATGAAGAATAAGTATAATATGCTACCTTTTATCTAAGGACTGGAGAGGACTACAAATACGTACACATTTGCTAATTGATGAGGGGACTTCAAAAAGTTCATGGAAAGGTGGAATTAAAGTAAAAGCTTATTTGGGTGAGGGCCAGTAAGTGGCATGGTGGTTAAGAAACTGGATCTCACATGGCTGACTCCGTAGTTTGAGTCCCAGACCTGGCAGCTTTGATAACTACATTAGGCATGTGTGCATTTGTGCCCAAAATCCCAAGAGGAGAATGGAGAAGGGACTGTGTTGTGGCCATCCCCTGGGGGTTAGTTTCTGACTTTTCCTCTCTGTCTGCCTCACTCTGGCAAACACACATGCCCTATGGCAAAAATCTAAAAAAAAAATTAAAATAAAAATTTCATTTTGGTGCAAAAAATTTTGAAATTCATGCATAGATTTTTTTTTATCATGTGCATTTCCCATGAACTTTTTGAAGATCCTTCACAGATATATAATGAAAAAAAAAGTCAGCCATTGAAAATGGCTACCTCTAGAGTGTAAGAATTTTTTTTTTTTTTACTTTTGCTATATGGTATGTGTGTATGGTGGAGATAGAGAGGCGAAGTAAAAAAGAGAAAGTGGGAAATCAACCCCCAGAGGGACCAGCGTAATGGTTACATCACTGAACTCCCATGTAGTTGACTGCGGTTCAAGGCCCAGACCTGACGGCTTAAAACATGCTGGGTGTGGGTGCATGTGTGCCCCAAATCCTGAGAAAAGAATGAACTGTGGTGTGGCCATCACCCCAGGGGGGTGATTTCTCACTTTCTGTCTCTCTTTCTCTCTGGCAAGCGCACATACCCTACAGCAAAAATTACTCTTAAAAAAAAAAAAAGAAAGAAAGAAATCACTCCCCCTGACCCCTCAGAGGGGATGGCCACACTGCAATTCCTTCTTCATTCTCCTCTTGGGATTTTGGGCATGCATGCAGGTACTTGGTGTGTTTTTAAAGATGCTGGGTCCAGGACTTGAACTGACCAGTAACCATGTGGCATCCGGGTACTTTAACCTCCATGCCACCAGATGGTCCTTAGAAAGGACTTTTTTTTTTTTTTTTTTTTTTTTTGGAGAGTTTTTTTTGCTATAGAGCACGTGTGCTCACCAGACAGACAGAGAGAGACAGAGAGACAGAAAGCGAGAAATCACCCACCAGGGGGGATGGTCACACTGCAATCCCTTCTCCTCCATTCTCCTCTTGGGATCTTGGGTATGCATGCACATGCGCCCGGTGTGAGTTTAAGCTGCCAGGTCCGGGACTCAAACTGCGGTCGACTACGTGGGTGTCCAGCGACATAGTCATTATGCTAACTGCTGGTCCCCTGACTTTTTGAGGGGCTGGGAGGTGAAGTGATGGTTAAGGGCACTGGATTCCCACATGGCTGACTGCGGTTCATTTCCTGGGCCTAGTGGCTTGCTTTCTCACTTTCCCTTTCTCTCTCTCTCTCTCTCTCTCTGTCCTACTCTGGTCAAATTAAAATAAATAAATAAAGTTAAATAAAATAATTCTTTAAGAAAAAAAGAAAAAGGACTTTTTGAAGGAAAAAGTATGAAAACTAGATTTCTCTAAATGTACCTTGCTTTGTAGCGTTGTCTTTGGAACCCCGTTAATGTTTTGTTTTTGAGAGGTTTTTGCTATAGGGCATGTGCACTCGCCAGAAAGACAAAGAGACAGACAGAAAGCGAGAAGTCACCCCCCCCCCGGGGGGGATGGCCACGCTGCGATCCCTTCTCCATTCTCCTCTCAGGATCTTGGGCATGCACACACACGTGCCCAGTGTGAGTTTATGTCACCAGGTCCGGGACTTGAACCGCGGTCGACTACATGGGAGTTTAGCGACATAGCCATTACACCAACTGCTGGTCCCCCATGTTAATGTTATACTTTACAAATTAGAAAACAAAATAACAAAAGCAATCCCTAAAATCAAAGTCAAATGAAATGAATGAATCTGATAGTGTATTAACCAATGTAGAATTATTTCAAAGAACTTTTTTTTTTCTTTTTTTTTTGAAGAGGTTTTTGCTATAGGGTGCGTGTGCTTGCCAGACAGACAGAGAGAGACAAAGAGATGAAAAGCGAGAAATCATCCCCCAGGGGGATGGCCATGCCACAATCCCTTCTCCTCCATTCTCTTCTCGGGATCTTTGGCATGCATGCACACGTGCCCGGTGTGAGTTTAAGCCACCGGGTCCGGGACTTGAACCACGGTCGACTATGTGAGAGTCCAGCAACATAGCCATTATGCTAACTGCTGGTCCCTCAAAGAACTTTAAAACAGTAGTGATTTGGCGATACATCCCTACTAGCAACACATGGACTGGGCTGTCAGAGTAACATATTACAGTCATCAAGCAGAATGTGGAACGAAAAAGGAGTCAAAGAAAAGAATATAGTACAATTCCACGTGTGTAAAGTTCAAAACCAAACTATATTATTTAGAGACATGTATACAGGTGGTAAAATCTTTTTTTTTTTTTAAGTTAAGGGAATAATTTTCACAAAGATCAGGACAGTGACTATCTGTGAGCAAGAAAGGAGTGGGAACAGAATTTCTAGGGTACAGACAGTGTGGGTTTGTTTGTTTAGACTTATTATTTTCTAAAAAATACTTAATTTTTTAAGAATTATTTTATTCAACTTTATTTATTTCTTTATTTAAATTTGACCAGAGAGGGACAGAATGAGAGTGAGAGAGAGAGAGAAAGAGAGGGAGGAAAGTGAGAAAGTAAGCCACCAGGTCCAGGACTAGAACCACAGTTGGCCATGTGGGAGTTCAGCAGTCTTTAACCACCATGCCACTTGCTGGCCCCTAGATTTATTTAATTTTACTTATTATTATTTTTGTTTCTAATTTGACCAGAGAAAGAAAATGAGAAAGCAAGCCACCAGGTCCAGGACTTGACCATGTGGGAGTAACAAAACCTTAACCGCCATGACACGAGCCAGCCCCTATTATTTTTTTAATCTGACCAGAGAGCAAGCTTCCAGTTCTGGGATTCAAACCATAGTCAGCTATGTGGGAATCCAGCACTTCAACCACCATGGCACCTATTGGCCCACCAAAAGTGTTCTTTTGCTTAACTTGGGTCGTAGGTGCAGAGATAAGTGTGTATTTTTTTTTTAATTATTTTACTTAAATTTATTGATTTATTTTACTTTGACCAGAGAGGGACAGAGAAAGAGAGAGAGAGAGTGAGAAAGCAAGCCACGGGGTGCAGGACATGAACCATGGTCAACCATGTGGGAGTCCAGCGTCCTTAACCACCATGCCACCTGCCAGCCCCCAGCCCCGATAAGTGTGTATTTTTAAATCAGCTTTATTGGGGAGTAATGTAAAACCACCCACTTTCTGTGTATAGTCTGATAAATTTTACAAATGTATGTAACTGTGTACCCCACACACATAATCTAAACTATCTCCATCTCTCCCCAGAAGCTCCCTTCAGTCTTGCCTCCCACCCCCACTTCAGTCATAATAGCTTTATTTGTTCTAGCATGTCATATAAGTGGAATCATAGTACAGGTATGCTTTTCTTTTTGGAGAGATTTTTGCTACAGGGTGTGTGTACTTGCTGGAGAGACAGAAAGAGACAGAGAGACAAAGTGAGATATCTTTCCCCTTGGGGATTGCCATGCCTCAATTTCTTCTCCTCCATTCTCCTCCTGGGATTTTGGGCACATATCACACACATTCAGTGTGATTTTCAAGTTCTTGGGTCTGGGACTTGAACTGTGGTCGGCCATGTGGGATTCCAGTGCCTTAGCCACAAGGCCACCTGCTAACCCCAAAGTCAATTTTTTTCCCCAAATTTCTTTTTAAAGACTTATTTATTTATTATTTTAATTTGACCAGAGAAAGACAGAGTAAGAAGAAAAGTGAGAAAGCAAGCGACTAGGTCCAGGATGAAACTGTAGTCGGCTATGCGGGAGTCTGGAGAGTTAACTACCACGCCACCTGCTAACCCCTAAAGTCTATTTTTAAAAAAGAATCTTAGCATTATATCATTTAGGAAATTAAAGCTGTGGTCAGATCTAAGAAAGGTTACTCAGTCTTTTTTCAACTAAAAAGAGCTTCACAACACAAACTTCCTGAGGATAAGAAATTATCATTATGGGGACCAGCAGGTGGCATCATGGTTAAGGTGCTGGACACTCCCACATGGCCAACCACGATTCGAGTCCTGGACCTGGTGCCTTCCTTTCTCACTTTCCTTCTCTCTCTTTCCTCCTCTGTGTCTCTCTCTGGTCAAATTAAAATAAATGAGTGAATAAATAAAATTAAAAAGAAAAAGAAATTATCATTAGATCATAAATAAAAGATGAACTGACCATATGAGTTATGAGTAGCACTGTGTTATATGCAGGAAAATAAAGAATTACCTTAACAGCCCCCGGGGAGGGGAAAAGGCGTAACACCTGACTTGTGGGTACGCACTTCTGAGCATGATGGCCAGCAGGGCTGCAGCTCCTGCCCCCAGACTGTGTCCCACTATGACAAGCCGGTATTCCTAGGGCAGAATGAGGCACAAGTTAAAAATAATTGACTAGTGACAGAAAAAGAAAGAAAAAATTAAACAAAATCTCACAGGAGCAATGCTGAACGCTTGACTCAAAATCCCATCATTGATAAGTCGTCGGTAAACGTACTTGGCAGCTTGAGAAATCCCCTGAAACACAAAGAAGGTGGCCATTAACCCTCAGGCAGGACAATCACACGTCACGAGACAAAGTTATACCTTATGTACACTTACTTGTGATTTTCTACTTCCCCAAATAGGATATAACGTCACTGATCAGTGGCTGTGTCTACTCCTCACCTGTTTTCCTGGTACCTCGTACAGAGCTTGGCATGAAGCAGGTGCTCAATAGATATTTAAGTGAATGAATAGTATCAGGAACATCTCTCCCGGTTAACAGATACATTTCTGCACCTTTTTCTGTAGCTATGTAGTATTTTGCTCTATTGGACATATGACAGTTTACTTCAGCCAAGGTCCTATGGCTATTTAGACTATAAATGAGACTGATCAGGGGCCAGCAGGTGGCATGGTAGTTAACTGTGGTTCAAGTCCTGGATGCAGTGGCTTGAAAATGACAATAAATAGATAGATAGATAGATAGATAGATAAATGTCAAATAAATAAATGAGACTGATTGTTATTATTATTATTCAAAATTTCCTATAGGGGGCCAGTAGGTGGCGTGGTGGTTAAGGTGCTGGACATTCCCACATGGCTGACCATGGTTCAAGTTCTGGACCTAGTGGCTTTCTTTCTCACTTCCCTTCTCTCTGTGTGTCTGTCTTCCTTTGGTCAAATTAAAATAAATGAATGAATAAATAAAATTAAATAATTCTTTAAAAAAATTTCCTATAGGGTATGTGTGCTCACGAGAGAGAAAGAGGAGACAGAGATAGAAGTGAGAAAGCACTGCCACAGGGGGGACGGCCACACCACAATCCCTCCTCTTCTAGTTTCCTTTTGGGATTTTGGGCACTAGTAGATGGTGTAATGGTTATATTGCTGAACTCCCACATGGTCAACTGTGGTTTGAGTCCTGGACCTGGTGGCTTGAAACTCAAACAAGGCACATGTGCTTGCATGCCCAAATTCATAAGAGGAGGATGGAGGAGAAGGGATTGCAATGTGGCCATTCCACCGAGGGGTGATTTCTCACTTTCTTTCTCTCCATCTCTCGGTGCCTCTCTAGCAAGCACACGTGCCCTAAAGCAAAAATCTCTCCAACAACAATAATAATGATATGATGAGGCTGGCAGGTGGTATGGTGGTTAAGGGCACTGGACTCCCACATGTTGACTGCAGTTCAAGTCCCAATCCTGGCAACTTGCTTTCTCACTCTCACCCCACTCCCACTCTGTCCCTCTCTGGTCAAATTAAAATAAACAAATAAAGTTAAATAAAATAATTCTTTTTAAAAATGTTAAATAGGATAATTCTCTTTTTTAAAGATAGATTTTTGCTATAGGGTGTGTGTGCTTGCCAGAGAGACAGAGAGAGAATGTGAGAAATCACCCTCTGGGCGGATGGCCATACTGCAATCCCTTCCCCTCCATTCTCCTCCTGGGATTTTGGACACACATGCACACGTTCAGCATGAGTTTCAAGCTGCCGGGTCGGGGACCCAAACCACAGTTAACTATAAAGGAATCTAGTGCCTGAACCACTACGCCACCTGCTGGCCCCATTATTTTTTAATTTGACCAGAGAGGTACTGGTGCTGGGAGGGTGAGGAGGGGGAGTAAGAAAGTAAGCCACTGGGTCCAGGCCTCGAACTACAGCCAGCCATGTTCAGCATGAGTTTCAAGCTGCCGGGTCGGGGACCCAAACCACAGTTAACTATAAAGGAATCTAGTGCCTGAACCACTACGCCACCTGCTGGCCCCATTATTTTTTAATTTGACCAGAGAGGTACTGGTGCTGGGAGGGTGAGGAGGGGGAGTAAGAAAGTAAGCCACTGGGTCCAGGCCTCGAACTACAGCCAGCCATGTGGGAGTTCAGTGACTTTAACCACCATTCCACTTGCCAGCCCTGAGAGTGATCTTTTAAACTGACTATGAAACATAAAGTTCTTTAAAATCAAGCAGTTCCTGGGACCAGCAGTTAGTGTAATGGCTATGTCGCTGGACTCCCACGTAGTTGACCATGGTTGGAGTCCCAGACCTGGTGGCTTAAACTCACACCGGGTGCGTGTGTGTGTGTGCCCAAGATCCCAAGAGGAGAACGGAGGAGAAGGGACTGTGGCGTGGCCATCCCCCCTGGGGGGTGATTTATCTCTTTCTGTCTCTCTGTCTCTCTCTGCCTTTCTGGCGAGTGCACGCGCCCTATAGCAAAATAAATAAATAAATAAATAAATAAAGCAGTTACCAGCACTGAGAGACAACCCTATCATTGAAAAATATTTTGAGAGTGCATCCTCATGGCAGTTCCTCTTTCAGGCCTTGAGACAAAGCAGGCCTGGCCTATCTTTGTGCAGCTGATATTCTAACAGAATAAGGTATAGGAATTCTGTATACCACAGGAGACTTGACTTTAGTTTGATTATTTGATAGAGAGCATGTGTGAGCACGTAACTGTGGGGCGAGGCACCCTTGACAGGGTCTCACCAAGCCAACATTCCCTTTCCATGGCCCTCTAGCTAGTCAGGATTTTGGCATGCTCATCTGACAAGTTTTCAAACCAACCTGGGGATCTGAACCCATGGTCCATGTGGCTTCCAGCACTGCAGTTCTGTTTGCTACTGACTGTGCCATCAGGCTGGATGAAGAGACTGTTTTTTATCATCTCTAAAGCAATTATAAACTCCAAAGATTCAATAATTCTATGATTCTTCAGGTAGAATGCTCAACCTAGCATCATGTAAGAAACCCCCCGCTCCCCCCGAAAAAAAAGCCTCTGACATGCTGTGTACGCTCTGACAGCACTTCCATCATGATAAACCACCAAATTACCTTTGGCTCTCCTGCAGTCAACTCCAGTTAGGCACCTACTATGGGGCCAGCCCTAGGCAATTAGAACCAAAAAGAACTTGGACTACCACTGGCACTGGTTCCTGGCATACACGTTAAACCAATGAAACACCAACACTGGTTTCAGCCTCACAGGTTCGGAGTCCAATTGCCATGGACAACACCGGAGCCAAAACACAACACAAATGAAGCCAACAGCAGAGAACAGGCCCTGAACAGTTACCTTCCCATCCTGAGGGAAGAGCTGTCCCTGGAAACACTAACGCTGGGTAAAGGGGAGGCCTGATTTGCTTCAAAAATACAGTGAGTGTTGGGGCCGGCAGGTGGTGTGGTAGTTAAGGGCGCTGGACTCCCACATGACCGGCCACGGTTTGAGTCTCAGACCTGGTGGCTTGCTCTTCTCACTTTCTCTCTCTGTCTCTCTCTGGGCAGATAAAAATAATAAATAAATAAATGAAGTTAAATAAAATAATTCTTAAAAAAAATATAAAAATGAAAAAAAAAAAAACCCACAGGCAGTGTTAGAGAAAAACAATGCCCATTTCTAGGCCTGTCAACTATCTGGTAGCAGAACAAAGGCCTCCACCTTGGCTCTTCCCTAAAAACTGCCCAGGCAAGACCCCGAAGCTACACTCTTACTATTAAATAAACACACACACACATACACACATTTTTAATTGCCAGAGGGCACAAACACTCGTCAGAGAGAGGAGAGCGGAAGCATCCCCAATAGGGCTTGGTCACGCCACAATCTCTTCTCCATTTCTCCATCCCGTCAGGATTCTAGGGCATGCATCCACACACACTTGCATGTTTTTCAAGCCATCAGGGCCAGGATTCAAACTATGGTCAGCCACGTGGGATCCATTTCCTTTAACCACTATGGGTGCTGGTGTACTCTATCCAGATTTCTTTTAAAATAAAAAATAAACATCTTATTTTAAAAATGATCACTATAGGGAATGGCAGGTGGCATGGTTATGGTGCTGGACTCCCACATGGCTGACTGCAGTTCAAGTCCTGGACCTGGAGGCTTGTTTTCTTACTCTCCCTCTCTGATCAAACTGAATAATAATAATAATAATAAGGGACCAGAAGATGGCATAATGACTATGTTGCTGGACTTCCATATAGACAACCGTGGATTGGGTCCCGGACCCTGTCACTTAAACTCACGCCCGGCACGTGTGCGTGCATGCCCAAGATCCTAAGAGGAGAATGGAGAATGGCCATCTCCCCTTGGGGGTGATCTCTTGCTTTCTGTCTATCTCTCTCTTTCTGGTGAGCGCACACAACCTGTAGCAAAAACCTTTCCAAAAAACTAAAGTAAAATAAAGGAAAAATTAAAAAAATAATAATAATAAGTCCAGTTAGTACCGAAGTGTTGATGTTTTGATCGTAAAAACACATGAAGTGTATGAACGCAAAGCCCATGTTACTTGCCTTCCATCTCTGACATCTCAATGCCTCTGCCCAGAAGTGGCCACTGTACACTCAGGGTGAGGGACCAGTAGTTGGCGTAATGGCTATGTTGCTTAACTCCCATGCAGTCAACCGCGGTTACAGTCCCAGACCCGGTGGCTTAAAATCAGGCTGGGCACGTGTGCATGTATGCGTGTCCAAGATCCCGTGAGGAGAATAGAGGAGAAGGGATTGCAGCGTGGCCATCACCCCTCGGGAGTGATTTCTCGCTTTCTGTCTCTCTGTCTCTTTCTGTCTTCTGGCAAGCGCATGTGCCCTATAGCAAAACCTCTCAAGATTAAAAACCAAACAAACAAACAGACAAAAACATGGAGTGAATTACTCCAGACTTCCCCTAAATGTTGAAAACCTCTGCAATAGTGACTAAGGAGTCATTAAGGAAATGCAAATCAAAACCACAATGAGGGGCCGGCAGGTGGCATGGTTGTTGGGGGCACTGGACTCCCACATTGCTGACCACGGTTCAAGGCCCAGACTTGGTGGCTTCACACACACACCCTCCCCCGTCTCTCACTTTCCGTCTTTTTCTGTGTCACTCTCTGGTCAAATTAAAAATAATAATAATAGGCGCTAGGGACCAGCAGATGGCGTGGTGGTTAAGGCACTGGACACTCTCCAATGGCCAATTATGGTTAGAGTCCTGGACCTGGTGACTTGCTTTCTCACTTTCCATCTCTCTCTCTCTCCCCCTGGCTATGTGTTCTTCTCTGGTCAATTAAAATAAATGAATGAATAAATAAATAAATAATTCCTAAAAATAAAAATAATAATAATAATAATAGAGGCTGGCAGGTGGCATGGTGGTTAAGGGAACTGGACTCCCACATGGCCAACCATGGTTTGATTCTCAGACCTGGTAGCTGGTTTTCTCACTTACTCTGTCCCTCTCTGGCCAAATTAAAATTAATTAATTAATTAGTTAAATAAAATAAAATTTAAAAAGTAATAATAAATAAAGTTAAATAAAGTAATTCTTTAAAAACAAAACAATGAGACACCACTTCACACCCACTAGGATGGGTACTATTCCAAAAAATGGAAAATAACAAGAACAAGGCTATTGACCAGGAGGCAGAGAAAATAGAACCCTCAAACACAGCTGGTGGGAATGTAAAATGATTCAACTATTGTGGAAAAGATTAAACATAGAATTATTATATGATCCAGCAATTCTACATCTAGGTATATACCCAAAAACATCAAAAAGATGCTCTCTCTGTCTCTCTCTCTCTCCAGTGAGCGCATGCACCCTAAAGCAAAAAGCTCTCTTAGGGAGGAGCAGATGGTGTAATGGTTACATTGCTGGACTTCCACATAGTCGACTGAGGTTCAAGTCCTGGACCCCACAGCGTAAAACTCACACTGGGCCTGTGTGCATGAATACCCAAAACCCAAGAGTAGAAAGGAGAAGGAAATGAGTTGTGGCTATTCCCCTGGGGGGGTGATTCCTCACTTTCTGTCTCTCTGTCTCTATCTCTTTGGTGAGCATAGGCGCCCTATAACAAAAATCTCTCTTAAAAAAAAAAAAAAAGCTCTTCAAGAAAAATAGTAACAACTAAAATTTAATAAATAATTCTTTTTTTTTAAGAGATATTTTTGCTATAGATAGAAAATGAGAAATCACCCCCCGGGGGGTATGGCCATGCCTCAGTCCCCTCGCTTCCATTCTCCTCTTGGGTTGGACATGCACGCACACACACATGCCCAGCATGAGTTTTAAGCTCCAGAACATCCACAGCACAGAAGACCAAAACTAAGCACCTGGGCAGGCTCCATCAGCACAGGAAGCCATGGAGGTCCTGTGGGGTGAGGGAAGCGGGGGCCACATTGCCTGCCTGCCTGCCTGCCTGCCTGCCTGCCTCCCTTCTGTAGCACTGTCTGACTATACTCAAGCTTTTTGCACCATAAGAATGTATTACTTGGGAGGCCAGCATGGTGGTTAAGGGCGCTGGACTCCCACATGGCCGACCATGGTTCAAGTCATGGGCCTGGTGGCTTATCTTCTTTCTCTCTCTCTCACTATCTCCATCTCTGGTCGAATTTAAATGAATAAATAAAGTTCAATAAAATAATTCTTTCTTTTTTTTTTGAGAGGTTTTTGCTATAGGGCACGTGCGCCCACCAGAAAGACAGAGAGAGACAGAAAGACAGCGAGAAATCACCCCCCAGGGGGGAGGGCCACACCACAATCCCTTCTCCTCCATTCTCTTCTTGGGATCTTGGGCATACACGCACATGTGCCTGGTGTGAGTTTAAGTCACCGGGTCGGGGATTCAAACGGCGGTTGACTATATGGGAGTCCAGTGATTTAGCCATTACATCATCTGCTGATCCCAAAATACTTCTTTAAAAAAAAAAATTATCACTTGGGTCAGCAGGTAGCATGGTGATTAGGGCGCTGGACTCCCACATGGCCAATCACGGCTTGAGTCTTGGACCTAGTGGCTTGCTGGCTCACTTTCTCTTTCTATATCTCATTAAATGAAAAACAAATGAATAAATAAAATTAAATCTAAAAAAATAATGTATTACTTTAAGAGGAAGGAAAAGTCCTGGGCTTATGTCCCTGATTTGATACTCCAGTAACCATGTGGCTTGGGGCCACGTACTCAGCCTCTTTGAATGGCCCTCTCTTCAAACAAACGGCCCCCTCACACACCCCCAGCCACATCCTTGGAGGGTTCTTCCGGGAACCCCATGGTAAGGAGAGGAGCATGTACTCTGTGCAGCATCTGCTACTGCGTATCAAAGGCCAGCACTGACTGTCACGTGCTCCCTGTATGTACTCTGTGCAGCATCTGCTACTGCGTATCAAAGGCCAGCACTGTCACATGGTGCATGTGAACAGGAAAACTCCACAGCTCCAGGGATAATACCTTGTGTGCCAAACGGTCCTGCACTTCACATTCCAGGTCAAGGGTCTCACTCTCCGCTGACAGATCAGTCAGGATGTCCTATAAAAAAGGCACCAATAGAAGAAGCCATCAGCCTAAGGTGGTGCAGGGCGGGCGAGCGATGCCTGTACCCCCCATGGCTGACAGGTGGGGCCCTCTCCCACAAGACTCCCTGTGAGGGACAGTGGGCATGGCAGTCTCCTGGTCAGACTCTTGAGACCTGAACCTGTGATGTCTAAACTTGGTAGAAATGCAGATGGTGGGGGTGGCCCTTACAGGCCCTGACAGCAGCTCTGGGTAAGGTGTGAGCAGTGGAGGGGACCTAGCCTCGCCCTCCTGTGTCACAAATATCCTAAGGACCTTTGTGGCACAGAGCCTGACGAGGGTTTTGAACAAAGCATGGATTCTGGATTCAGAGGCCCACAGAAATGAGACAGCAGAAAGCATCAGTTCTAGTGCCATAGCAATTGGGCTCGAGGGCACGTTCCAGACAGTGAAGGCTCCCGGGAGAAGGTGGTGTCTGAGTATAGCCAAAACAAAAAGGCTATTGAGGGGGCCGGTGGTTAAGGGCGCTTGACTCTCACATGGCCAACCACAGGTCAAGTCCCAGACCTGGTGGCTTGCTTTCTCACTTTCTCTTTCTCTCTGTCTCTCTCTGGTCAAATTAAAATAAATAAATAAAGTTAAATAAAATAATTCTTTAAAAAAAAAAAAAGACTATTCAGGAAGCAGAGAAGAGAAAGTATCCTTACCCAGGGACAGGAGGGCCCAGGGCAGAGGCATGGTCCAGGTACTTCACTGGTGGTAGGGGACTTGCTGGGCAGAGGGTTCCATGTCTACACTATTTATAAAACTGCACAGATGAACTATGACCTAGCAGTTAGGGAACTGATTTCCATCTGGCTGACCACAGCTTGAATTCTGGCCCTGGCTGCTTGAGAACCAGGCTAGGCACACGTATTCATGCCAAAATGTTGGTAAGATGAAGATAAAGAAAAAGGGTTACAGCATGACTATACCCCATTGGAACGCTTTTCCCCTCTCCCTCTCTGCTTCTCTCCCGCAAGCTGAAAAAAAAAAAAGCTTCACATAAGATTCAGATGTGCTACCAAGGCTGATGACAAGTGGCATGCCACACATAGTGTGAAGATGGGAACTGGAGGGATCAGTAGTTGGCATAATGGCTATGTCACTAGACTCCCATGTAGTCGACCACAGTTTGAGTTCCAGATCCGGTGGCTTAAACTCATGCCATGTGCATGTGCGTGCGTGCCCTAGATCGCAAGAGAATGGAGGAGAAGGGATTGTGGCATGGCCATCCCCCCTGGGGAGCGATTTCTCACTTTCTGTCTCTCTGTCTTTCTGGTGAGTGCATGTGTCCTATAGCATAAACCTGTCAAAAAAAAAAAAAGGAGGGGGACTGGAGAGGCCGGCCAAGTCAGCCCCTAACTTACTAACAAAGCTGTGATTGAAGCATGAGCTTTACAAGAAAAGCAGTAGGGAACCATGTGAAGTTTCTTTTTTTTTTTGGAGAGGTTTTTGCTATAGGGCACGTGTGCTTGCCAGACAGACAGAGAGAGAGAGACAGAAAGCGAGAAATCACCCCCTACGGTGGATGGCCACGCCGCAATCCCTTCTCCTCCATTCTCCTCTCGGGATCTTGGGCACACACGCACACACGCCCGGCGTGAGTTTTAAGCCACTGGGTCTAGGACGCGAACCGCGGTCGACTATGTGGGAGTCCAGTGACATAGCCATTATGCTAACTGCTGGTCCCATGAAGTTTCTGAGAAGGATGTTCTGAAGAAAGTACTCCACGGCCAGTAAAAAGGACAAATTCAGAAGATGAGAGACTAGACAGGGACTGAGATAGAAAAGAGGCCAGAACTAGGGCTAGAAAGATCAAGGCTGAACGGGAACTTCATGGACTGGGCACAAGCAGCAGAGAAACCAAAGACATCATAGTTTCTAAAATGGGCAACTAGAGGGTGCTGGCAGGACTGCTATAAGCAGGAGGCCCAGAAGGAAGAGAACTAGACAGGGAAAGATCAATGGCTCTTGAAGGTGGAGCTGTGGGGTCCTGGCCAGCAGCCGGAGCTGCAAGCCAAATGGGGGGCTGGCCCCAGAGCTGGTTAAAAGAGCAGAAGGTTGAAGGTGCAAGCTCTGGAGTTCTCATTGCATTTTCTGGGTCAACAGGGAAGTAAAAACGGGAAGTGAGAGTAAGAAATAGAAAAACTAGGAAGCATGACACAGAAATGGAAAGAAGACGGTTTCAGCAGGGAGAAAGTCATCTGATACCTGCAAAGGGCAGAGCAGTCAGGGTGAGGCAGACAGAGGAGGCATTACCAGGCTGGAGCTGGATTGCAGGAGAAGAGCGAGCGGAGCAAGGCCCGGAGCAGGGCTGCAGAAGAACTGTCGAGCAGTGGTGAGGCTTTTCACGGCAAGATTTCACCTACTGCCCTATTCTGGCTCTGGTGCAGGAAAACCAACGGTCACCTGGGCTTGGAGCCTGGCCAGGGCGGTTGGGCAGGAGAGAACCACACCCACTTGTGTCTGTTTCTGTTTTCAGTTAAAAGGAAACGAACTTACTGGTTTTCTGCAAAGAGAGCAATTCTCATGCCTGGATTCATTTCCCCATTTTCTTTTTTTGTTGTTTTTTGCTCAGGCTAATGCTGTTGCCTGAGTGTTTTCTCAGTTCTGAACATCCACAGCTTGCTGATCCACTCTCCTGCTCCCTCCATCTCGTTCCCAGGTTGATACGTCAGGCCCCAAAGTTACCTGGAGAGACATGGTCCCTCTCACAGCAACCACGATAGACTCTTTCCTGTGATCCAGAGCCACTAAGAAGGGCAGCTCATACACCTGCAGGATAAAGAAACAAGCATGGGGACCGGCAGGTGGCATGGTGGTTGAGGTGCTGGATTCCCACATGGCCAACCATCGTTCAAGTCCTGGACCTGGCGGTTTGCTTTCTCACTCTCCCTTTCTGTCTGTCTGTCTCTCTCTCTGGTCAAAATTGAAGAATAATGATAATAAATAAAATTACAAATAAATCTTAAAAAAGAAAAAAGAAAAGAAACAAGCATGAAGCCTAAGTAATAAAACATGCATCTAATGATACAAAGTTAGAGCATTCCAGCGCCTCCAGTGCAGTGCTTATCGCTACTATGAAATTTTGAGGCTGTAACTCAGAAAGAAGGCAATACACTGACTCGCTGTTCTCTATTCATCCTCACCAGCCAGTGTGACTATTCTGGATTCTGGAAATGAACAGCATTCATAAAACGTGCATGGAAAATATCTTTGTTTCCTTAGCCTCTCTCTAGTCACCCTCCAAAACTGATTCTACCATGCTGCTGGATAGTGAATACAATCTACTGATACTTTACCACCCTCATTTTAGCCCCCTAATCACCAAGGCCTCAATAGGTAAATTCAGCTCTGTGTTGATCCCCAAAAAGTCATCCCAAAGGCCAGGACTAACAGGTGCTATTCACCAAAGGCTCTAGGCAGATTACCAGCATTCTGTTACCTACCAGAGGTAGGGCAGGACAGCTCAGTGGTGTTCCACTGTAATCAAACATAAGACCAGAGCCATCTACTTATGCAAGACTAAGCAAAAGTAAAAGGCTTTGGGCCTTATAAGTATCCACTTCCATTCAGAAGCAACCACAGCTAAAGCTGCAATCCCAGGCTTCTGTCTTTAAAATTGGAGTCCTCCAAGAACACTGAAGGGCAAAGTAGGCAAAATCTCAACCCTCTTCTTTTCTGCTATGTGGTCTCAAACAATGTCTCAAGTCCTCTCATTCTCTGTTTCCTCACCTTTAAGACTGTAACACGACTTAACTCTTAGGCCAGGAAGAAAATACCTGGGAGGTAACCGATCAATGCTCACCATTACCGCGATGACAGCCACCTGTCTGTGAACAACTGTGCATCTGGAGCAAGCTGCGAAGAGCAGGTTGCTGACTTCACAGCTGCAGTTTCTGCAGGAGAGGGACTTGCACCACAACTTTGTGTGGGCTCCTTGAAAGAGCTCCCCAAATGGTCATAAATCTGTGACAAGTTATCTTCTTTTTGCCTTTTTCTTATTTATGATAGGGTATGTGTACACATGAGAGAGAGAGAGAGAGAGAGAGAGAAGGGGAGGAAGAAGAGATAGACAAACACTCTCCACAGGGCCTGGTCACACATGTTCCCCTTCCTCCAATTCTCAAGCCATCCTAACTTGGCACTTGTACATGTGCCTGGTGTGTTTCGAACTGACTGGGCCAGGGATTCAAGCCATGGCTGCCATATGGGACCCAGCTTCTCCTGCGCCGTGAATTACTGCTGGGCCACAGAGCTGGCCCAAGTGATCTTTAAAATATATCACTCAAGGGACCAGCAGTTGGCATAATGGCTATGTCGCTGGACTCCCATGTAGTCAACTGCAGTTCAGGTCCTGGACCTGGTGACTTAAACTCATGCTGGGCACATGTGCGTGCGTGCCCAAGATCCTGAAAGGAGAATGGAGGAGAAGGGATTGTGGTGTGGCCATCTCCCCTGGGGCTGATTTCTCACTTTCTGTCTCTCTGTCTGTCTCTGTCTTTCTGGCGAGCGCACGCACCCTATAGCAAAAACTTCTCCCCCCCCCCAAAAAAAAAAATATATATATATATCACTCAAATCACTCCTTAGTCCAGCCATGGTGGTGCAGGCTGCTCAACACTGGAGCCATATGGAAGTCCCCAGTTCAAATTTGGATCAACATGGACATGCTGGGAGTGCCAATGATCCTGGCTAACAAAAAGGCTGGGGTGGGAACAATGGCCATATGGCAAGACCCTGTCAATGATACCTGGTGTGTATCTCTTGTGAAATCAAAATCAATCAATTGAATTTTAAAATACACCAGTCTTCTCTGCCCTAACCACTCAGCACAAGTACAATCCAGAGACCACCAGGGTCCTGAACTTTGCTACACACTAGACTCACTGTGGCTATTAGAAACCAGTCACCTAGCTTCAACCACACTTTTTAAAATTATTGTTATTTAGAGATTTTTGCTATAGGGCATGTGTACTCACCAGAGAGATAAAAAGTCAGAAATCACCCCCCCCGCCCCCGGGGAGGATAGCCACACCACAATTACTTCTCCTCCATTCTCTTCTTGGGATTTTGGGCATATGCACGCACAATGTGCACACACACACACACATGCCCAGTGTGTTTCAAGCGGCTGGTTCCAGGATCTGACTTGTAGGCAACCACATGGGAGTCCAGTGCTTTAATCACTATGCCACCTGCTAGCCCCAGTCATACATTTGATTTAATTGGGATGGGGTACCTTGGGCATCATATGCTTAAAACTTCTCACAAGTGATTCTAAAACACAGTCATCTAGGAGTCACTGGCTAGAGAGCAGTAGTTCCCAAAATCATCTACACACTGGAGTCCCTGGGGGCTTTAAAACCCTGAGTTAGGGGGCCAGTTGGTGGTGTGGTGGTTAAGGCACTGAGTCCTACACAGCTGACTGTGTGTCCCGGATTGGGCAGCTTGAAAAAAGACACTGGGTGCAAGTGTGTGTCCAAAATCCTGGGAGAAGAATGGAGAATGAGTTGCTGTGTGACCTTCCCCCCAGGGGGTGATTTCTCACTCTCTTTCTCTCTCTCTCTCTCTCTCTCTCTCTCTAGCATGTCTACACATCCTATAGCAAAAACAAAACAAAACAAACAAACAAAAATTTAAGGAAATTAAAAAACACTCTGAGTTAGGTCCAGAAACTGATTAAATTGATTTGGGGTGAAGCTGGACTTAGCAGTTCTAAAATCTCAGCACAGTCTGCAGCACAGTTGGTAGCAAACTGGAAGTCTGCAGTGCTGGAAGCCACATGCCCAACTGTGGGTCTGGATTCCTGAAGTGGCTTAGAAACACATGGGGTATTTGCATGCTCAAGATCCTAATGAGATGGAGAGCTGGGGAATGGGGACCATGGCAAAATAAGTTCTGTCAAGGGTGCTTGGCTCTTTCTCTCTCATGTATACACATATTCTCTACCACGAATAAGAGGGAAAAAAGCTCCTTAAGCGATTCCATTAGACAGAAAGTTTGAAACCAGCTGTACTAGAGCAGTGGTTAAGTTTGGGGTGTGTGGGAATTGCCTGGAGAGCTACTAGGCAATGCCAAGGCATGAGTCATTGAAGTCAGACAGAACCGGCTTGTGCAGCTTCACTGCTTTCCCTAGGGGAATCTGATACCCACCAAAATGTGTCGATGGAGCTCATGGCCCAGAGTGAAGACTGTGAATTGAACCCTAGAAATCCGTGTGGGATTACTACTAATGTAACTCACTGTTCTTCAATAAAAATATGGGCTTACATAAGAAAGATAGTATTATATCTCTGAGGAAGACCTGTTGCTCCATCTTATGTTAAACCAGGGCTTTGGGGACTTGCAGGTGATGTGGTGAAGGTGCTGGACTCCCACATGGCTAACTACGGTTCAAGTCCCAGACCTGGCGGTTTGCTTTCTCACACACACTCTCTCTTTCTGTCTGTCTCTCTGGTGAGTTCATATGGTCTATAGCAAATAAAATAATAATAAAATAAATAACGCTTTATTTAAAAGCAAAAAACTAGAGTTTTTAACCTAGATACACAGACCTGTATGAGCTTTAGGGACTGTCTGTGAATGGCCTGCAATGGAACATGAGATTTAGGAGTGAGAGTGTATATGTGTATCTGTGAATTACACGAAGAATAACATAATTCTCATCAGAATCTTAAAGGACTCCATGACCCAAAGGAAGTTAAGAACCCCTGTCTTCTACTATACCTTGTCATGAAAGCTTATGTGAATGAAATCCCGGTACTGGAGCCCCGTTGTTTGCAGGATGGAGCTGAAGTGGCAGTTGAGCTGATCACCTCCGACTAAGTCATATTCTGTTGTTCTGCTTCTGCAGCTGAAACGCGGGAGCAAAGATGTTACTGTGCCAGCCTGAGCCACTGACCAAGGAACGCTCATCATATCATTTTTCCACAAAGGTGAAGACTAACTGGTGTTTACCACTTCCAGTCAAACCTGGCTGACACACAATGTTATTTAAACAAGGAGTATTTTTCTGTAGATACCTCGTAGTAGAGCTCTAACGTCTGGCCTCACATTCATGTCATACATATTCAAACAGAAATTTAAAAAGGATAGGAGGGATCCTAAAACTGAAGGCCAACAGAAGCAGGTGACCCAAACCATTCTAAATTAATGACAGGACCAAACCCAAAGAAGAAACAAATACCAATAAAAGAATTAATCTAGGGGCTTGTAGGTGGTGTAGTGGTTCAGGTACTGGACTCCTGTGTGGCTGATCGCAGTTCAAATCCCGGACCTGGTGGCTTGAAACACACTGGGTGTGTGTGCATGCGTGCCCAAAATCCTAAGAGGAGAATGGAAAAGTGGCCACACCCCCTGGGGAAGGCAATTTTTCACTTTCTCTCTGTTGAGTGCACATGCCCTGTGGCAAAAACCTCGGGGCGGGGGGCAAAGAATGAATGTAATCCAAGCAACTTTTTTTTTTGGGGGGGGAGTTTTTTTTTTACTATAGGGTGTGTGCACTCGCCAGAGAGACAAAAAGCGAGAAACCATCACCACGCCCCTCCCCCCTAGGGAGGATGGCCACGCTGCAATCCCTTCTCCTCCATTCTCCTCTCGGGATCTTGGGCACGCACGCACACGCACCCGGTTTGAGTTTAAGCCACCAGGTCCAGGACTCAAACTGCAGTCAACTACATGGGAGCAGCACATAGCCATTATGCTAACTGCTGGTCCCTTGACTTTTAAAATAAATATGTATTGGGCTGAAATTGAAATTACTATCCCCCCCCACCTCTTCCACTGAAAGGTTCCAGAAGCAGTAACACCACAGGAGTAACACCAAGTAACACCAAACACTTAGATCTTAGATTCTAAATGCCACTACCTGCACTAAATGAAGAGGGTGCCCTAGAGAAAGGGATTCCAGGGGAAGCACAAGAAGAGGTTGCAACAATTTATGTCAGAAAATCAGAAAGTGCTTAAAAAAAGATGAGGATATATCAAAAGGACACAGGAGTCAGCCTGCAGGGCCTCAAATTTTAGGCATAAAATAAATTTTATACTTGTTACAAAATGCACAGTAAAGAATTATAATCCATTAAATAAAGAAAGAATCTATAAATCCATATTGGTTAGCAGGGAAGGAAATGCTCTTTAAAACAGGATAACAACTAATTTAAGAAAATAATGAATGGGGGCCAGCAGGTGGCATGGTGGTTAAGGGCGCTAGAGTTCCACATGGCCAACCACGGTTCAAGTCCCAGACCCAGTGGCTTGCTTTCTCACTTGCTGCCCTCTCCATGGTCAAATTAAAATAATAATAATAATAAAAAATAAAACTAAATGGAAAATTTATTTTTATTTTTATTTTTTAAAAAGAATGAATGATGGGATCAGCAGTTGGCGTAATGGCTATGTCACTGGACTCCCAAGTAGTTGGTCACAGTTCTAGTCTTGGACCCAGTAGCTTGAAACTCACACCAGGTACATGTGTGTGTGTGCCTAAAGTCCTAAGAGGAGAATGGATAAAAAGGGATTGCCACCCTGATCCTGATCCCTGGGGGTGATTTCTTGCTTTCCATCTCTGTGTCTGTGTCTGTCTCTATCTCCAGCAAGTGTACATACCCAATAGCAAAAATCTCTCAAAAAAAAAACAAGGAATGCTAAAACTAGCAAGTAAAAATATCAATGAATACTAAAACTAGCAAATAGAAGTATATCGAAGTGGCTTCAAAGTATCTCCCCAAAGGTAACTTACGCACAAAGTAAAGACAGGTATCTCTTCTGTGGCAAAAAACTGTCAGTCACCACTGAATACAATGTTCACGTGACCAAAATGGGATACAATGGCATCAGGTGTCTTCTGATATAAGGTACTAAGAAGGACATAATATTCCTCATGGAGCATTTCTGCCAAAAGTTCAAAACTTGGGGACCAGCAGTTAGTGTAATGGATATGTCGCTGAACTCCCATGTAGCCGACCGTGGTTCGAGTCCCAGACCCGGTGGCTTAAACTCACGCCGGGCATGTGTGCGTGTGTGCCCAGGATCCTGAGAGGAGAATGGAGGAGAAGGGATTGCGGCGTGGCCATACTCCCTAGCTTTCTATCTCTCTGTCTCTCTCTCTCTTTCTGGTGAACGCACGCACCCTACAGCAAAAACCTCTCCAAAAAAATAAGTTAAAAACTTGAATCTAATCACAAGAAAATCATCACACAAATGCAAAGTTAGGGCTCTTCGCAAAACAATTGTCCTCTTCAAAACATCAGATTTGTGAAAGACACAGAAAGGCGGAGGAATTGTTCCAAACTGAAGGAGACTAAGGGGACATGACAACAATATGATAAAATCCTGGATCAAACAAAGAATTGCTACAAGGGATGTTATTAGGAAAAAAGAATACTATGGGGATGACTGGAAAAATTTCTATATAAATTGCAAATTGGCTAATGATCAATGATCAATTTCCGAATTTTATAATTTTACTGTAATTATGTAAAAGAATGTCCTTGTTCTTAGGAAATTCAGGCTGGGGGCTGGCAGGTGGAATGGTGGTTAAGGGCACTGGACTCCCAAGTGGCTGACTGTGGTTTGAGTCCCGGACCTGGAAGCTTTCTCTCTCTCGCTCTGTCCCTCTCTGGTCCAATTAAAATAAATAAAGTTAAATAAAATAATTCTTCAAAAATAAAGAAATAAACAAAATCTTAATTAAAAAGGAAATTCAGGCTGAAGTAATTAGAGACAAAAGGTATATGGTGAGAGAGAGAGAAAGGAAAATTGAGAAAGCAAGCCTCCAAGTCCAGGACTCAAAATGTGGTCAGCCATGGGCGAGTCCAGCACCTAACCACTGTGCAACCTGCCAGCCCCACATAAAGGTTTTTAAGAGAAATAGGGATACACAGGGCTCAACCATGCCAACCTACCAGTCACCACCAATCTTGCACAGCCCTGTAAATGGGTTTCTGTAGATGTAGAAAGGCCACCCATAGGCGGCTGCTGCAAACTGCATATAATGATGGCAGTTTTCTAATTCTGCATCCAAGTCAGCTTCCTGGAAGAGAAGGAGGAAAAACTCTCTGTTTAGGTGAACTCATTTTGGAGAGAATCCACGCACTAAGATCTTAAACCTGAACTCAAATTTCTGATTCTTCCTGCTTTTTCTTCACTGTCTAGAACACTCAGGATTTCCATGGGGAAAATTGGTTCCTAAATGTAAACTGATGGACTCCTCATTTTATAGAAATGCAACAAGTATAATGGGAGTTAACAGCAGGATAAACCCTAACTTTTGTGGCTCCAGCTGAAACGGGCTGGTGCTTCCTGCCTAGGTGCATTTAACTAGCACATTTCCATGTCACTGCCACACATGAGCTACCAAGAACTGGGCAGTTTAACAAAGGGCAGGCAGAACATAAAGTCTATGAGCAGTTGTCTTCTTCAAAAACATAAATATCTGTCAGGAAGATTATCATCAAGCAAACCTGAACCACATGTGCTCACCAGGCCCAGAGAATAAAGCAAACACACCCAGAGAGAACCAGGTCCCACCCCAGGAGGAATCTTTCTGCTATACAGACTCCAACATCCAATTTCCTAAAACAGAAAGCTTTAAAAACACAATGGATGGTGAACTGGCTAGAAACGGGCTCTCACTACCTGAACTCCAGATGACAATTATAGGCGATAAACTATAATTAGCAAAAGACACAAAGCAGGGGCTGGCAGGTGGCCCGATGGTTAAGGATGCTGGATTTCCATATGGCTGATCACGGTTCAAGTCCTGACCTGGCAACTTCCTTTCTCACTTTTCCTTTTTCTCTGTTTCTGTCTGGTCAAATTGAAAAATAATAACAAATGAAATTAATTAAATAAATAATTCCTTTAAAAAAAAAAAAAAAGACACAAATTAGATACCACCGAAATTGCTGTTGGCTAGTTGTCCGTTTTGGAAGATGTATAAGTATAAATGTCAGAACTACGTGGTCCAACAGAAACACACGCTGACCTGGGACTGCCCTGGCGAGTGGCTGATCACCTCCTCAGGCTCCTGGTTATTCATGATGTTGTCCTGTTGCTGATGAAGAAGAGCAAGGCCCACTGCAATGTCACTGGGCACTAGATCTGTGTCCTAGGTAGAGAACCACAATGGCCTGTCACAAACGCCAGCAAGGACTTCCCATGAGTCCCTCAAAATTAAGTTTTATAGCATTCACAGACACACATACACACAGAGATTCATTTATATGCACAAAAGTATTAAAGAAGAACATTTCCTTGCCGGAATCCTTCTATATGTGAGCTTAATGTTTTTTTCACATCCTGCCTTCAGACAAACCAATTAGAGAATAAACAACATTGGATGATTTCTATATTAAACTTTCACTTCTAATAATGTAGTTATTTTTAATCTATTAGGTTGATGCAAAAGTAACTGTAGTTTGCATTGTTGAAATTTGCTATTTGATACTGGATACATTTTTTAAAAGACTATTTATTTATTTATTTATTTCTCTTTTTTTTGGAGAGGTTTTTGTTATAGGGTGCATGTGCTCCCCAGAAAGACAGAGAGACATGCGCTCGCCAGACAGACAAAGAGAAAGAGAGACAGAAAGCAAGAAATCACCCCTCAGGAGGGATGGCCACGCCACAATCCCTTCTCCTCCATTTTCCTCTCGGGATCTTGGGCACGTGCACACATGTGCCCGGCGTGAGTTTTAAGTCACTGGGTCCGGAATGCAAACCACAGTCAACTACGTAGGAGTCCAGCGACATAGCCATTATGCTAACTGCTGGTCCCTAAAGACTATTTATTAATTTTACTTGTTCATTTATTTATTTTCATTCGGCCAGAAAGAAAGAGAGAGAGTGAGAAAGTGCGAAAGCAAGCCACCAGGTCAGGGACTCGAACCATGGTCAGCCATGTGGGAGTGTTCAGTGCCTTAACCACCATGCCACCTGCTGGTCCCGATACTGGATACATAATTAAATAAATGTGGTTATGTTATACATCATTTTAATGTGCATTTCTTGTTTTACATTTTTTGCTAGTGACTTATTACTTGCTTTGCTTTTTATTTTAGACTATAGAAATGATGTTAGACAAAAAACAAATTCGAGGAATTTTCTTATTCGAGTTCAAAACAGATCACAAAGTGGGGACAAGCAGTTAGCGTAATGGCTATGTCACTGGACTCCCATGTAGTCGACCGTGGTTCGTGTCCCGGACCTGGAGGCCTAAAACTCACACTGGGCGCATGTGCGTGCGTGCCCAAGATCCCGAGAGGAGAATGGAGGAGAAGGGACTGCGGTGTGGCCATCCCCCCTGGAGGGTTATTTCTTGCTTTCTGTCTCTCTGTCTCTGTCTGGTGAGCGCACGCGCCCTATAGCAAAAACCCCCCCCAAAAAAAAAAAAAAAAGAATCACAAAGCAATGGAGACAACTCGTAACATCAACCCCTCTGGCTCAGGAACCACTAATGAACAGTGCAGTGGTAGTTCAAGATGTTTTGCAAAGGAGAGAAGAGCTTAGAAGATGAGGAGTCTAATTGGCCAGTCATCAGAAGTTGACAATGACTGGGGCCAGCAGGTGGCATGGCAGTTAAGGGCTGGACTCCCACATGGCCAGTTCAAGTCCTACACCTGGTGACTTGCTTTCTCACTGCCCCCCCAACTCTGTCCCTCTCTGGTCAAATTTAAATAAATAAATAAATAAATAAATAACAAATAAATAAATAAATTTGGGACCAGCAGTTAGCGTAATGGCTATGTCACTGAACTCCCATGTAGACGACTGCGGTTCGAGTATTGGACCTGGTGGCTTAAACTCACACCAGGCGTGTGTGCGTGTGTGCCCAAAATCCCGAGAGGAGAATGGAAGAGAAGGGAATGCGGTATGGCCATCCCCCATGAGGGGTGATTTCTCACTTTCTGTCTCTCCGTCTCTCTCTGTCTTTTTGGTGAGCGCATGTGCCCTACAGCAAAAACCTCTCTAAAAATAAATAGATAGATAGATTTAAATAATTCTTAAAAAAAAAAAAAAAGTTGAGGGACCAGCAGTTGGCGTAATGCCTATGTCACTGGCCTCTCTGTCTCTCTGTCTCTCTCTGTCTGGCGAGCACACATGGTCTATAGCAAAAACCTGTCCAAAGAAAGAAAAAAAAGAAAAAAAAAGTTGACAATGACTAATTGAGAGCAATCATCAAAGCTGATCTTCTATGACTATATGAGAAGCTGCTGACGAACTCAATGTTGACAACTCTACTGTCACTTGGCATTTGAGGCAAATAGGAAAGGTGAAAAAAACTTGATAAGTGGGTATCTCATAAGCTGACTAAAATGTTTTAAAAATTATCATTTTTTTTTTGGAGAGGTTTTTTTGCTATAGGGCGCGTGCGCTCGCCAGACAGACAGAGAGAGACATAGAGACAGAAAGCGAGAAATCACCCCCCCAGGGGGGATGGTTATGTCGCAATCCCTTCTCCTCCATTCTCCTCTCAGGATCTTGGGCACGCACACACACGCGCCCGGCATGAGTTCTAAGCCACCAGGTAGGAGACACGAACCGTGGTCGACTACGTGGGAGTCCAGCAACATAGCCATTACATTAACTGCTGGTTCCCCAAAAATTGTCATTTTGAAGTGTCATCTTCTCTATTCTATCCAACAATGAACCATTTCTCAATTGGATTGTGATATGCAATGAAAAGCAGATTTTGTAAAACAACTAGCGATGACCAAGAAGTTCCAAAGCATTTCCCAAAGCCAAGACTGTACCAAAAACAGGGTTATGGTCACTGTTTGGTGGGGTCTGATCCACTACAGCTTTCTGAATCCTAGTGAAACCATCACATCTTGAAAGTAAGCTCAGCCAATGAGATGCACTGAAACTGCAATGTCTACAGCCGGCTTTGGTCAACAGAAAGGGCCCCCAATCCTTCTCCACAATGTCCAACTGCACTTTGCACAACCAACGTGTCAAAGATTGAACAAAGTGGGCTATGAAATTTTGCCACATCCATCATATTCACCTGACCTCTCACCAACCAACTACCACTTCTCAAGCAGGTTGCCAATTTTTGCAGGGAAAAATTCCACAACCAGCAGGATACAGAAGATGTTTCCCAAGAGTTCGTCAAATCCCAAACCATGGATTTTCATGCTACAGAAATAAACTTATTTATTGTTGGCAAAAATGTGATTGTGAGGCCAGCAGGGGGCATGGTGGTTAAGGGCACTGGACTCCCACATGGCTGACCACAGTTTGAGTCCCAGACCTGGTGGTTTGCTTTCTCACTTTCCTCTCTCTCATTGTCTTTGTTCTCTCACTCTGTCCCTCTCTGATCAAATGAAATAAATAAAGCAAGGAAGCTAGCTAGCAAGCAAGCAAGCTAAATAAAATAATCTTTAAGTGTGATTTTAATAGTTCCTATTTTGAGTAATAAAGATGTGTTTGAGTCTAGTTAAAATTATTTAAAATTCATGCTCCAAAATGCAATTGTTTTTGCACCAACCTAATATTTCAAATCTTTTGTCAAGTGGAAGAATAAACAGATAAATTCTCCACCTTTGTAGTGGTACACAATCTTAACCCAAATGTATATTCTCATTTCTCAAGACGCTGTGAAGGTTTTGTTGAAGCACAGGCTACAGTAGATTTATGAGACTGAACTTATTCTCATTGGGCATGAAAAGTGGAGTTTGTAAAAACTGGGTATGGCAAGCCTCAAAAAGAATGAACCCCAAACTAGTACAGCTGTAGAGTCAGTCTTCTTGAGCCTAACCTTGCCCATTTTCTTCAGGATAGATATGGAGGAGTCAGGAATCTTCAACCACCTCCAGGAACTTCCACCCTATAAGAAAGGACCATGCTGGGACCAGTAGCTGGCAGAATGGCTATGTCGCTCGACTCCCATGTAGTCAACGGTTTGGGTTCTGGTCCTGGTGGCTTAAACTCATGCCGGGCGCATGTGTGTGCATGCCCAAGATCCTGAGAGGAGAATGGAGGGGAAAGGACTGCGGCATGGCCATCAACCCTGGGGGGTGATTTCTCGCTTTCTGTCTCTCTCTGTCTTTCTGGCAAGTACACGCACCCTATAGCAAAAACCTCTCCAAAAAAAAGAAAGGACCATGCACTGGCCACTTGCCCAACGAACCATCAGTTATGCCTATGATGTAGATTAACACATTCTCTAAGAATAACCAGCTTCTTTTCTTCCTTCTTCCAAATACCTTAAGACTAGGTTGAAGTACTCCTTTAAGTTAGGAGACAAAGCTCTCCAACCCCTACATGGAGGCTGCTGCTCTGGCCTAGTGTTGGACTTCAGGGGCAGCCCTGAACAAAGCCAAGTCGGACATCATAGAGATGCGAGGAGGAAACTGGCAGGTGCGCAGGATGCCAAGAGAACTCGTCCTCCTTTTCTAGGTCTCAACAACAAACACAAGAGCAGTTTATCAGAGACCATCACATGAAAACACAAAATCACACACTAGATTGAAAAAAAAAAATGCATATTTCCAAATCACTGAAGGAATTGCTTTGGATAATGATTCTCTTCCTGCGCTGTAATAATTTATTCAAGCTTTCCTTCACAAGTAGAACAATCTATCATTTCTGTCATGATACTCAGAAGAAAGACATCATTATCTGATACTCTTTAGGTGCCTGACACTGCCTATGCTTGGTATCCGCTGAGTTCCAGCTGGATAAAGGACATAAAAACAGACAGCTGGAAAGTTATTTCTAAAATGTACAGGTTCCGTTATTTAATGTTTTAAACCCAAGTAGAAATCTTGACAGGGTAATATGTATCACTACAAAGATGCACCCAACCAGAGGTAGGGTCTGAAAAAGAGTGACCCTGGCAGTGAACTCCGTGAAGTAATCATCTCAAAATATTTCCCCCACCCCAACACTCCCAGGGATTCCAGGTTCTTAATAGCAATTTTACATGAACAGGGAGGACTGGCTCAAAATGTAGAGTACACAAAGAGAGAGACCAAACCAGACCCCTTTAGCTTACTGAAAAGTAGGTTGAGAAAAGCTCTGCCGTACTCGAAAAAGCAACTCGAGTATGGTCGTCTTTCCCAATGCAACAGCACAACAACTTGATTCTGGTTTCCCACACGCTGGTAGCTGCTGTCTTGAGGCCATTAAATAACTGGCTTGAATCATGACTATCCAGGTGACTGGGACCAGCAGAGGAGTATGGAGCCATTTTCCCCCCCAGTGGGTCAAAGACAATAATAATGGTAACCACAGTGGCGGCGATGATGATCCAACTGCAAAACAGAGAGGAAAAGGCTGGATGACTGTGGGCCCCACCTCCAGCTGCACGGATGAAGACTCCTCCTTCAAACTCAGCTTCTATGTCTCTACAGTTAAGATTCCAGAGACCTGGGGAGAGGTGGAGCTCTCCGAACTTGGCTAAGGTGAGCAACTCGTTTCTCCTAGACAGTTCCTTCATGAACTCATAATTAACCCAGGCCCCACAAGGATTAGAGCTCTAAAGTAAAGACCACAAAAGAAACATGGAGCTGCTTAGTGGGCAGGTTGAAGCGTGGCCACAGAAGCAGCTAGAGTTTATTCTCCCCAGTCCCTGCCCATGAGCCAGGCCCTTATTCCTCAGTGTTTCGAGGGTCTTCATGATAAAAACCAAAGGATTTCTGTAATGAAGGATACTTTCATTAATATAGTTAAACATTTATTTCTAGACTACCATGGTGTGCCAGGGGCTTGGGTTCATGAATACAGATACTGCTGGGAAGATGTACCGCTGGGACGAGACCTTTCTGGGAGGGAACCCTCCTGCTCCAGAGCTGTGTGACTCAAGAAGGGTGGCCAACAGCTCAAGCCTTATGTTTCCTACTTTGTAACTCAAGGGGATAGAAATGGATCATCTCTAAGATTACTTGCCTAGAAAATGTGAAAGCCTTATCATTCTGCATTATTATTCTCTGCTGTAACTCCTGCCACCATAACTCTTCTCACCCTACCTTTAGCTCTTGCTCTTGTTTTAGTCTCTGGTTTACTTCCTTCTTATAAGGGAAGGGAGATCATGCAAAGAACCAGTAAGAAAGAAAACTACATCAGTCAATGCATAATAAAAGATGAATTATTCCTCATGTATAAACAGGTGTTTCTAAATTTTCATGATTTACTCAGAAAGGTCCAACTTTGTAACTATTTTAGGCAGTTCACATAATGGGGTGCTCGCTAATGATTTACTCAGAAAGGGCTTGTTTATCTGGATCTCAAATGCGTTTGAGAAAAGAAAAAAACTAAAAGACAAGGTGAAGAACCTCACCTGACAACAACGGTTGCGATGATGCCATTCACAACTGTTTTGTCACACTGAACATCGTCTGATATCCAGGCAGCCCCCAGAGAAGCCCAGACCATCTCTGGCAGAAACAGTGCTAGGCGTACGTAAAGTAGCTTAGACATAGACTTGCGTGGTCCAGGGTTACAGATGGTTCCTGAAATACAGAAAACATTCATACTGCTCACTTGCTTCCTCTGAGATAAACATGGCTAACAGTGTGCATTGCACCACATGCATACCCACCATCTGACCTTTCCACACTTAACTGGTGATCAGCACCTAAGTTTGAGAGCAAGTGACAAAGTGAGGAAAGAAAGACATGACAAAAGGTCTCAGATTCATTTCTTAGATTTACCAGGGATTAGAAATGTTTCTGCGCAACACAAGGGTGAACATATAATTATTGCCCAGATTGGGATACTTTGGAGAACACAAGAGGGTGCCACTGGGGCCAGCAGGTGGCGTAGTGGTTAAGGTGCTGGATTTCCACATGACCTACCACAGTTCGAGTCTCAGACCCAATGGCTTGCTTTCTCACTTTCCCTTTCAGTCTGTCTCTCTTTGGCCAAATTAAAGAATAATGATGATAAAAAAGTCAATAAAATAATTCTTTTTTTTTTTTAGTAAAATAATTCTATTTTAAAAAGAGGGTGCTCTAAATAATTATGCCAGGACAAGAGGCATAAGACAGAACTAACCCAGTACAGTTCTAGCCAGCCTGGAAAGATCGACCACATCATTTTAGATACCATCCTGAACACTTCATGCCCTAAATTATTCTTTAATCCTCACGATGACTGTGGGTTAGTCATTATTCTATTTTACAAACAAGGAAACCAAGGTTAAGGGAACTTACAAGCTATTTTTTCTCTTGTTTTTCCTGTCAGAGGGCACATACCTTCACCAGAGAGGGAGGAGGATGGAGACAGAGAGAGAGAGAGAGAAAATGACCCCAATAGGTGTGGTCATGCTGTAATCCCTTTTGCTCGATTTCTCCATTGTGCCAAGATTCTGGATACACACACCCACGTACCAGATATGCTTTTCAAAACTGCTGGGGCTGGGACCTGAACGGAGGTTAGTCATGTTGGATCCAGTTCCCTTAACCACTAAGCTATAGGCTGGCCTCTTTAATAGCTACTTTCTTTTTCTTTTAAAAAATTTGCTAGATGGTATGTGTGCTCACTAGAGAGAGAAAGAGACAAAAAGAGAGAAAGAGAGAGTGAGGGAACACCCCCCCCATAGGGGATGGTCACACCACAATCCTTTCTCCTTTATCTTTCCATTCAGGATTTTGGGCATGCACACACATGCACATGTGCCCAGCATATTTCTCAAGTCGCTGTGTTTAGACTTGGCTAGTTGTGAACTTTTGATCCTTCAACCTCAGCCTCCCAAGTAGCTGGGAGTTTGAGTCTCCACTCAGTTGGTTTCACGACAGATGTATGCGTGCATGTTCCCAGAATCCTGACTAGGACTGGAGGAAAAAGATTGTGGTAAGACCAAGCCTGGAGGGTGGGATAGTGCCTTTTCTCTCTAGTCTTCCCTCCCCCTTCCCTCTCCCCCATTCCTTCTCTCTCCCTCTCCTAGGCTATGCACAAGTTGAAAACAAAACAAAACGGGATCAGCAGTTAGCTTAATGGCTATGTCACTGGACTCCCACGTAGTCAACCACAGTTTGCATTCCGGACCTGGTGGCTTAAAACTCACACCGAGCGCGTGTGCATGCGTGCCCAAGATCCCGAGAGGAGAATGGAGGAGAGGGGACTGCGGCATGGCCATCCCCCCTGGGGGGTTATTTTTCGCTTTCTGTCTCTCTGTCTCTGTCTGTCTGGCAAGCGCAAGTGCTCTATAGCAAAAACCTCTCCAAAACAAACAAACAAACAAAACAAAACAAAAACTAAGAGTTAAAGAATGATTTTGAGGGCTGGCAGGTGGCAGGTTAAGGGTACTGGATTCCCACATGGCCGACAGCAGTTTGAGTTTTGGACCTGGTGATTTACCTTCCCTCTCTCTCTCTCGCTCTGTCCCTCTCTGGTCAAATTAAAATGAGTAAGTAAAGTTAAATAAAAGATGATTCTTAAGAAAAAAAGAATGAATTGGTATAGAAATGCTTTTAAATTCCCAAAACTACCTTATATTAGAATTATAGTCACATTTTAAAATATTTTTAAAGAATTATTTATTTATTCCTTCATTTATTTTAGTTAGACCAGAGAGAGACATAGAGAAACAGAGAGAAACAGAGAGAGAGAGAGAGAGAGAAAGTGAGAAAGCAAGCCAGGTCTGAGACTTGAACCGTGGTCAGCCATATGTGAGTGTTTAATGCCTTAACCACCACACCACCTTCTGGCCCCATGTTTTAAAATATTAAACACTACTGGTCCTCATTTGGGGCAGGATGATCAAGGGTTTTTTTTTTTAAATAGTTTTTCTATAGAGCACATACATTTATTGGACGGGGAGACAAGACAGAGAGACAAACTGAGAAATCACCCTCCAGGGGATGGCCGTTCCACAGTTCCTTCTCCTTCACTCTCTTCTTGGGATTTTGGGTCAGCACACATATCTGTCCAATGTGATTTCCAAGCTACAGGGTCTGGGACTTGAACCAAGAAGTCAGCCATTTGGGATCCAGCTGCCTTAATTACCATATCACTGGCTGGCCCCAAAGACAAAGGTTTTCTTCAAAAGAATTATTTTATTTAACTTTATTTACTTATTTATGTATTTTTATTTGACCAGAGAAGGACAGAGCAAGAGAGAGAGAGAATGAGAAAACAAGCTGCCAGGTCCGGGACTCGAACCATGGTTGGCCACGGGGGAGTCCAGAGTCCTTAATCACCACACCACCTGCCAGCCCCAAAGACAAAGTTTTTTAAAAGGTAAAATTTTGGGACCAGCAGATGGCGTAATGGTTATGTCACTGGATTCCCGCATGGCAGACTACAGTTTGAGTTCTGGATTGGAGGCTTGAAACTCACACCAAGCATGTGTGTATATGCATGTACGAGCCCAAAATCTCGAAAGGAGAATGAAAGAGAAGGGATTGCTGTGTGGTCAACCCCCCAGGGGGTGATTTCTCACTTTCTGTCTCTCTCTGTCTCTCCAGCAAGTACATATATCCTATAGAAAAAAAATCTCTATCGGTACCAGCAGTTGGTGTAATGGCTATGTCCCATGTAGTTGACCATGGTTCGATTCCTGGACCCAGTGGCCATAAGGGTCTCAGGAATAGCCTGACCAGGCTATGGCTCTACCTCCCTATCCTTCCCACAGCTGCCCTCTGCATGTTAGCTTACCTTTGCTCTGAGTGGAGATACAGCAACATCCAGGAGCAAAAAGGAGCTTCTGGATTCTTAGAGAAAACTCCATAGACCTTCCCAGATGACTTTCCCTGACTTTCATTGGGCCCATCAGGTCACAAGTCTACTCCTGAACCAATCACAAACGTGTGAGGGTCTTTCCTGAACTAGGCCTAGGGCCAGATTCTCGGATGCAAACTTCTTAAGTGAGGGATGGAGAGACATACTGAATACAACTAGGTTCTGTTTGGAAGAGGTTATGGAATAGGCAACTATCAAGCCTCGGTACAACCTGAAGATAATGTATGTGTGTGACAGTGTAGGCACCAAGGGATCCTCTAGGAGTGACAATGAGCATCCAACACAGGAGTGCAAGTGTGCCCTGAAACCACAAAAAATATCTGAAGAAAAACAAATCTTCTCAGGGAAAAATTCACACTAACTGCTTGTAATCTGAACCTCTTATGGTAATAAACTCAATGGTCTGACCAGAATGTGATAGGAACAAAACATGGCAAATAAATGAAGTAATGCTATATGCAAAAGGACACCAGTCTAAATACTTTACCTTTCAGAAATTCTGCCTCTAGAAGTCTCTCAGTGCTAACGCCACACTGTACACATGAAGTCTCTTTCTCTTCTCAGCATCTAGCACTAGTGACAATTCATATTTGGGGGCTGACAGAGACCACAGAACTGGGACCTTCTTCAATCCAGACCCTGTTCATCCATGGTTTAGAAGTATACTAAAATACCTAGGGATCTATTTTCTATATATTACTATAGTAGGTGGGCACATGCCAGACTTGCAGGTCATCTGAAACCCTAAGGTCCTTTTCTTCAAAAAACACTTTGCTACTAATGCTTCTCACCTCCTGTTTCTTCCATGAGCTAACACCTTTTACATTTCATTCCATGATTCCAGACTGTAAAGATCTTCATTCTGTCACTCAACATAATAGCTATTGCCTACCAGTTTATTCTCATCACCTACAATCTGATAAGCATGCCTCCTACATTCCAATACAAGAAGTGATAAAATACCAAAATGATAGGTGGTGACATGCCATAGAGCCCTAACTCCGCCTGATGCATTTTTATTGACTAATGTATTCTTTTCATTAGTCATCAGAGTGCTCAGCTCATTCCTTGAACCAGAGCAACCAAATAAAGATGGTTTCCAATATTTTCAGTCTCAGAAAAGTGACTGCAGAGAGGCCAGCACATGCCATGGTGATTATAGTGCTGGATTCCCACATGGCCGACAGCAGTTTGAGTCCCAGATCTGGTGGCCTGCTTTCTCACTTTCTCTGTCTCTCTCTCTCTCTCCTCTCTCTATCTTGTGAACATGTATCATGTAGCAAATTAAAAAATAATGATAAATAAAATAGTTATAGAAAAAAAGAAAAGTGATTGCAGATAACAGTAACATGTAGGACAAAATTATCATTAAGAATAGGTGTAAGGGGGCCAGCAGGTGGCATGGTGGTTAAAGGTGCTAGATGGGTGCTGATGATAACCTCAGGTGGGTAGGTTCCCTAGAGCCGTGAGAGAGCCTGGTAAAGTGTTAGAGAGATTCCCCCAATGTGGGGGCGATATAACTGGAGGCTAATCTGGTTCAGTTAAAAGTGGCCATTTAAAATATTAATAGGTGAAAGGGGGGCTGGCAGGTGGCATGGTGGTTAAGGGCACTGGAATCCCACATGGCCAACTGTGGTTTTACTCCCAGATCTGGTGGCTTGTTTTCTCACTTTCCCCCTTTCTCTTTCTCTCTCACTCTGTCCCTCTCTGGTCAAATTAAAATAGGTAAGTAAATAAAGTTAAATAAAATAATTCTTTTTTTTTTTTTTTAAATAAGAATAGTTCAAAGGGCTGACGGGTGGCAGAGTGGTTGATAATAATAAATAAAATTAAATAATTTTTAAAAAAAGATGTAACTTGAGACCAGCAAATAGTATGGTGGTTAAATTGCTGAATCCCACACAGCCAACTCCATGGTTCCAAGGTGGCTTGAAAAACATGGTGGGTGTGTGTGTGTGCAAACTCAGCATCCCAAGAAAAAGATGGAGGGGCCAGCAGGTAGAGTGGTGGTTGAGACGTTGGACTCCGACATGACTAACCGCCGTTTGAGTCCCAGACTCGGTGGCCTTTCTCACTTTCCCTCTTTCTAGTGAGTTAAATATAATAATCACCATAAATAAAATTAAATAAAATAATGCTTTAAAAAAGATTAAAAATACACTTATTTTATTTAGCTTTATTTATACATTTATTTATTTAGTTAGTTAGTTAGTTTAATTTGACCAGAGAGGGGCAGTGACAGGAAGAGATATGGAAAGTGAGAAAGCAAGCTGCCAGGTCTGGGACTAGAACCATGGTTGGCCGTGTGAGAGTCCGGAGCCCCAATAAATAATTCTTTAAAAACAAAAAAATTGAGAAGAATTAAGAAGAGACTGGCATGGCCATCCCCCCTGGGAGGTGATTTTCTCACTTTCCTTCTCTTTCTGTCTCTCTCTCTCTCTCGGGCAAGCACACATGCTTGATGGGAAAAAATCTAAAAAAAAAAAAAAAAAAAAAAAGCCTAACAAATTATTCAGGGAAAAAATCTAAAAAAAAAAAAAAAAAAAAAAAAAAAAGTGTAAGTCTTACAACTTATTAATAAAATATAAATTATAAATAATTTAGTTTAAAATTTGGCAAAGGACCTGAATAGCCATTTCTTCGAAAATGATATACAAATGGCTAATAAGGATGTGAAAGGATAGTCAACATCATGAGCCATCAAGGAAATGCAAATCAAAACAATGATGAGCTGCCAAGTCATACGCACTGGGAAGGCTCTAAACAAAAAGTCAGATAATAGCATTGGTTAGTGTGTTGAGAAACTGGAACCCTCATACACTGCTTTGTAGAACTATAATACAGTGCCACTGCTAGGAAAAGACTTGCATTCTTCAAAAGGTTAAACAGAGAGTTAACATACGACCCAGCAATTCCACTCCTGGGTATATGCCCCAAAGAAATAAAACATGTATCTATACGAAAACTCATATGCAAATGTTCATAGCATTTTTCGTAATAGCTAAAGATAGAAACAGTCCAAATGTCCACCAACTGACAAATTAATAAGTAAATGCAATTCAATGTAGTATTATTTAACCATAAAAGAAATGAAGTACTTATACGTGTACATGATGAACTTTGAAAACATTATGCTATGTTTAAAAAGCCAGACCAAAAGACTACACAGGGAATAATAATTTGATTTACATCATGTGGAGAATGTGTAGAGACAGAAAGCAGATTAGTGAAAAGCCAGCAGGTGTTGTGGTGGTTAATGCACTGGACTCCCAAATGACTGACTACAGGTTGAGTCCCAGACCTGACAGCTTGCTTTCTCGCCTTCTTTCTCCCCTCCTCTCTCTCCACCTTTCTCTGTCTCTCTCTGGTGAATACACGTGTCCTATAAAAAATTGAAATAATAATAATAAATAAAATTAAATAAGTCTTAAAAAAGTAAGAAAGCAGATTAGTGGATGCCTAGGGACAGAGGATTTGAGAAAACATAAGAAGTAAATGCTAATGCTTACCAGATTTCTTTTTTTTTTTTTTGGAGAGATTTTCACTGTAGGGCGCGTGCGCTCGCCAGACAGACAGAGAGAGACATAGAGACAGAAAGCGAGAAATCACCCCCCAGGGGGGATGGTCACGCCGCAATCCCTTCTCCTCCATTCTCCTCTCGGGATCTTGGGCACGCATGCACACGCGCCCGGCGTGAGTTTTAAGCCACCGGGTCCGGGAAACGAACCGCGGTTGACTACGTGGGAATCCAGCGACATAGCCATTACGCTAACTGCTGGTTCCCACCAGATTTCTTTTGTGAGTAATGAAAATGTTCTAAAATTAATTGTGTTGGGGGTTGCACAATTCTGTGACTATACTAAAAACCACTGAATTGTATGCTTTAAATGGGTGGACTATTGGGTTGTCAGAAAAGTCATGACTCTTTAAAAGCATCATGACTTTTCCGGCAACCCAGTATATACTGTGAAAATTTTATCTTAATAAAGCTGTTCCAATTTTTTTTTTCTTTTTTGAGAGAGAGATTTTTGCTATAGGGTATGTGTGCTCACTAGAGAGACAGAAAGCAAGAAATCACCCTCAAGGGGATGGCCACATCACAATCCTTTCTCTTCCAGTCTCCTCTCAGGATCTTGGGCATACATGCACAAGCGCCCAGCATGAGTTCTAAGTTGCCAGATCCGGGACTCGAACTGCAGTCGATTACACGGAAGTCTAGCAACGTAACCATTATGCCATCCACTGGTTCCAAAGCTATTGTGATTTTTATAAAAATAGGAGAAAGCTACTCTTTACCTTTCATGCTGACACATATAATGGCTGACACGTTACATATAACAACTGCCAGGAGAACAATAAGAACGATCAAGTAACTGCTGAGCAGGACTCCACCAGCACAGTCCAGCTTCCCTCTGTGCATGAGATACAAAGTCAGAATGCCAATCCACCTGTTAAGAAACAAGAAGGACCAGAAATGAAATCCAGGAGCTGCCTTATATAACATGATATAAAGAAATAAAAGGAGTTCATATTTTCCAGAACAAGGCAAGATTCAATCTTGGGATATAATCTTCAACAGTAAAAAATCTACTAAGGAATAATAAACTCAAGAGTGTGACTTTCTTTTTTATGAGTTGTAAGCTTTCCATTTTTATATCCTTGTTCTTATTTTTAGGCCTGCTATAATCCATGAGAGGCATTTAAAGCCATAGCAAACAAGGATAATGTGAGTCCCTGGAAAACAGTCCCATCATGACTTAAAAATGCACAACTAGTAAACTAACAAACTATATGCTTGCTAAATTACTTCTGTGGATTGACCAGCACACATTGTAATCTGCTGTGTGTAATACAAAATCAACAGGGTGGGGAATAAGCAATACAAAGACGAAGTTCCATGATGAACACAGAACTCGCAAGGTGCAAGATTGTGGCCTCACAACTACATTTTTGTAATTCACTGCACAACAATGAAAGCTATCACTGAGCCATGTGAAATAGCAGTGACCCAACCCTAGAGGTATTTCAGCAGAAGCCAGATCACCACTTGGAAAGAAAGCCCTATTAAGGACTCAAGCCCAGAAATGAAATTGGACTAGATAACTTTTTAAGTTTTGGTCAATTTTGTGATATTAGGGCTGTCCAGAAATTTTAACAGTGGCAAAATGATCTCAGAAATATCTGGCCCTCACAACTATAAAATTCCTGCGAAGCACTCATGTCATGTTTTAACATTCATTTCCCCTCAAGATGTACTTTTTCATAACAATATTATTCCTTGCCCATACCCTCTGGAAACAGACTTAATGCACCAACGCCACTTCCCACTGACTCAACCCTCTGAAGTCAACAATGTATATCGAGCCCATCTGCTTATGAAATTTAGCCGCAACCAGCTCAAGAATAGCACTGGAGGGTATTTTTGCCTAGCGTTCATTTTGCAGATGCAGGATGCTTTGCTGATGAAGCAAGCCTCAGGGCCATGGCTTCTAGTCGGCAATGACGTTCTCGCGGTTCCCAATAGCGCTGCACAAGAAGGGATGCTAGAGCCCTAAAGCGGGGACGTCCGGGACCCCCTGTGTAACTCCGGGCACAGCCTGCCCTCTCTGGGCCTGTTTGCCTTCTGTAAATTGGGGACAGCAACAGCACCCACCACCTCGGACGGTAGTAAGCACTAAATAAGAGAATGCACGGCTGGGCCCGCGGCAGCGCTCAGTACAGCGGCGACTTTTATCACTCTTTCAAGAGGACAGCTCGCGGTCCCAGCCCGCTCCCTCCTCGACGCGGTCCAGCAGCCCGCAGGGCGACCGTCCTTACCATAGCACTCGCAGGAACAGCTCGAATAACCCGGGGAAGACCAAGTCGTCGCTGGCAATGGCCCAGCGCCGGCCAAAGAGCACCATCCCGGGCATGGTGAAGGCCCTGCCACCGGTCCTCAGGCCAGTCCCCGCGCGCCGGTTGCCAATTGCTGCCCGGTGCTCTCCGGTCTCTGCCAAACCAACCGCGGCCCAGGACAGGGACGCGCGAGAGCCGGTCCTTGCGCATGCTCACACTAAGGCCGAGACCCGCGCACGCGCACTTAGTCCCACGCAGCCGCCGTCGCCGCCGCCGCCCTCTGCGCCTGCGCAGATACACTGACTCTGGAGTCCTGGGCTGGCTTTATGCAGGTTCCAGATCTGTGAAATAGGTTCTGGCAACTCATTTTTCCATTTTTAGGTGAAGGTTGTTCAGACCCTAAGGGTTTACTAGCCTAGAGACCAATGGCTGTTAATGGCGAGTCGTGAGACTTCCAAGCATGTGCCCATGTTGCCGCCTCGGTGTTCCCGCTGTAGCTATAACGAGCCCCAAGGTAGGACCTCAGTCAGAGGTTTCGCCTGGCACCTGGAGCTAGAGTCTGACCACTTCTCAGCATCTCCATCGCCCCCATCTTGATGTGAGCCACTTTCATTTCTTGCATCCTCACTGCTCTTCCTCGTTCTGCCCTGCCCCTGCTACACCTGCACACTGGACGGTCGACTAGGCACATCCTTCCCCTAGGACCTCCCAAAGCTGCACTTTGGGCACGAAATACGCTCCACCCCCTCTCAGAGGCCTATCCCGGGTAGTCACGCATGAAAAGTTTGTAATCGCATGTTTATCTGTCTGTGTTAGGATTACTACTAGCTCTCTTCATCACGCAACACCTGCCGCCTGGTCTGCTCCGTGGCGCGGAAATGCTTCAAGCTCTTTCTCATCCCAGGGCTTTCACTTTGCCTGTTTCTTCACCAGGGGTGTACCTCCTGCAGGTATTTCTGTTCCTTGGTTCTATCAACATCAGTGCAAGTGTCGCTGCCTCTAAGAGGCCCTCCCCAGACACGATGTAAAACAGCACAGCCATCAATTTCTACTCCTTACCTTACTTTAGTATTCTTCATTGCACTTAATCACTCTTTGACTTACGTTCATTATTCTTAGCCCCTCCCTTAGAGTGTAAGTTTCATGAATGTAGGCACCTTACCAATCTTGTTCACAGCTGTGTATGCAATAGAACACATTATCGGCATATATTTAATACTTGATGAATGAATAACCTCATTAAACAAATGTCAAGAGTAGGTGGAGGCACTAAGAGGCTGGGGTTGAGTGGAAGTTAGGGGCTGTACGCCATGCTGTGTCAGTTTGGTGGGTGGCAAGTGTGGAGACTGAGTAGGTAGGGTCAACTAGAAGGGTGCTCCACACCTACATGACTAACCTCAAGTAAAAAACCTAGACACCAAGGCTCCTGCGAACTTACCTGGTTGGCAGTACTTCGTGCATGTTGTCACATATTGCTGATGGGAGAAATGTTTAAGACTCCACTGTGCAGACAGTTGGAAGCTTGTACCTGGTCCCTCCTGGACTTTGCTCTCTATACTTTTTGCTTTTACGGATTTTTTAAAAGGAATTATTTTTATTTACTTATTTATTTAAATTTGACTAGAGAGGAATAGAGAGAGAGAGAGAGAGGGAAAGTGAGAAAGCAAGCCTCCAGGTCTGTGACTTGAACCACAGTCAGCTATGTGGGAATCCAGTGCTCTTAACTACACCACCTGGCTTTGTTGTTGTTTTTATACTTTTGCTATAGGGCTCGTGCACTCTCCAGAGAGAGACAGACAGACAGAAAGCAAGAAATCACCCACTGGAGGATTGCTATACCACAGTCCCTTCTCCTCCATTCTCTACTCAGGATCTTGGGCACGCATGCACACGCGCCAGTGTGAATTTTAAGCCACTGGGTTCAGGACGCGAATCACACTCAACTACATAGTAGTCTAGCGAAGTAGCCATTACGGAAATGCCATCTGCTGGCCCCTCCTTTTGCTGATTTTATCTATATTCTTTCATTGTAAAAAACTGCAGCCTTTGGGGCTGGCAGGTGGCATGGTGGTTGGGGGTGCTGGACTCCCATGTGACTGACCATAGTTCAAGTCCCGGACCTGGCGGCCTGCCTTCTCACTTTCCCTCTCTCTATCCCTCTCACACTCTGTCCCTCTCTGGTCAAATTTAAATAAATAAATAAATAAAGTTAAATAAAACAATTCTTTTTTTCCCTAAACTTTATTTATTTAAATTTGATGAGAGAGAGTGAGAGAGAGAGAGAGAGGGGAAGCAAGCTGCCAGGTCTGGGACTCAAACCATGGTCAGCCATGTGGGAATCCCAGCGCCTTAGCCAGCATGCCAACTGCTGGCCCCAAATAAAATAATTCTTTTTAAAAAAAATTGCAGCCGTAACTGCTTTTATTTTTTTTAAAAAAAGAATTATTTTATCATTATTATTCACATGAGTTTTTGCCAGAGAAAGTCAGGCAGAGAGAGAGAGGATGAAGGAGCAAGCTGCCAGGTCCGGGATTCAAACCATGGTCAGCCATGTGGGAATCTCAGCGCCTTAGCCAGCATGCCAACTGCTGGCCCCAAGTATAACAAGTTTTCTGAGTGCTTACATAAATCACTGAACTAGAGGGTGGTTTGGAAAATCCCCAGAACATCCTTTATATCAGTAAAGGTCTAATAAGTGTACATATATTTATATACTTACTAGTTTTTTATTTTTTTGGTGTTTCTTTTTGGAGAGGTTTTTGCTATAGGGTACGTGTGTTCACCAGAAAGACAAAAGGAGAAATCACCCCCCCCCAGGGAGGATGGCCACACCGCAATCCCTTCTCCTTCATTCTCCTCTTAGGATCTTAGGCATGCATGCACCCGTGCCCTGCGTGAGATTGAGTCACCAGGTCCAGGACTGGAGCCACAGTGGACTACATGGGAGTCTAGCGACATAGTCATTATGCCAACTGCTGATCCCAAGGTTCTGTATTTTCATTCTGTTTTGGTAAGAGTCAAGGTAAAATGGTCTTTGCACAATACTGCCACTGCTTAAGTACCCAAGGCAAAACTAGGATAGAGATCTGGGGTATTACTTTAGTACTGTAAAAAGTATCCTCATCAAGCTTGGTACAAAAAACAGGAAGGGAATGGGGGTCGCCAAGGTGATTACAGAACATGTACCAAGCTCTGCGCTGAGCTGTACCGACAGTGGCCCACTCAAAGGTCACAGAAATTCTGCAGCAGCAGTCTCTCCATGTAACTGAAGGGGTCGCAAGGCTCATATTAACTCATGGCCAGGGAGCTACAAGTGCAAGAACCAGGACTCAACCTAAGTTTGAGCATAGAACTTGTGCGTTCTTAGGGTTCCCACAGATCACTATCATCTCCAATGAAAACTGTTCCTGGAATAGCCCTTAGTGCAGTGGTTAAGTGCCGAGTAGCCCGATTCCACATGGCTGACAGTGATCCAAATTGTCCCAGGGGCTAGGAAAATATGCTAGATGCGTGTAAATGTACATGTACACAGTGCCCAGGATCCTGATGGGATGGAAAAACAGAGGAAAAAGGGACTGCAGCATAACTGGGCCCCATTAGGGGGTACCTTCTCTCTCTCATGTATGCACCCTATGGAATGAAAACACAGAAACTATTGTTCTACCCACACCTGCCAGTGTGAGGAGGCAGAAAACTTTACTCTGATTGAATGGGACAAAGAACGGATTGGTGTCTGTAACAGCCTATGACTTTTTTTTTTTTTAAGGAATTATTTTATATTATTATTTAATTTGGCCAGAGGGAGGTAAAGTGAGAAAACAAGCTGCCTAGTACAGAACTCAAACCGCCGTCAGTCGTGTGGGAGTCTAGTGCCTTACTACCACACCACCTGCTGGCCCCAGCTAGCAGCTTTTCTTCCTTTTTTTTTTAAAGAATTATTTACTTTTATGTATTTATTCATTTATTTTCATTTGACCAGAGAGAGACACGGAAGGGGTGAGAGAGAGAGAGAGAAAGAGCTGAAGTGAGAAAGCAAGCCACCAGGTCCAGGACTTGAACCATGGTTGGCCATGTGGGAGTGTAGTGTCTTTACCATACTCTGCTGGCCCACCAGCAGCTTTTCATACAAGTATCACTTACTGGGCAAATTTAATAACTTGGCTTTATTTATATTTATGCTTGTTGTTTTTTTAAGTTTTGCTATAGGGTATGTGTGGTCGCCAGAAACAGAGAGGGAAAATGAGAAATCACTCCAGGGTGGATGGCCACACAGCAATCCTTTCTTGGGACTCTAGGCATACAAGCACATGTGCTCAGTGTGATTTTCAAGCCACTGGATCTGGGACTCGATTCAGTTAGCCATGTGGGATCCAGCCACCTTAACCTCCAAACCACCTGCTCGCCCCATGCTTACATTTTAAAAAATTTACACAGAAGAAAGCACTTCAATAAAAAGCATTAATTACCTGGTAACTTTTATTCAGGAAATGAAAGTAACTATGAAACAGTGCTTCAAAAGGCGCATCACGCAAGGCCTTTGTTTCAGTGCATGTGCAAAGATACTGCCCAGTCCTGCACTCCAATGGCACCCTATTTATTAAGATGTCATGCTTGGCCACAAAATAATGGTAACATTTTAGCAAATTTTATTTTTCCTTAGATAGAATGACTACAAAAGGCATTAATATGCTGAGGTTCCAGATCCTTGTTTTGTGCAGTGTGCTCTCCAATGAATACTCCAGCGAATATCTGATTTCCGTGCACAAGGACAGGTGTGAGCCTACCCCCAATCTGGGCAGCCAGCAGTCTGCTTTGATTTACTACCACTGATTTCCCACCTTTCCTCCCAACTCCTAGAATCTTCCAAGGAGGATGAAAACAGACCACAGAGACTAAAACAAGACTAGGATGCTGAAAAGAAAGATTTTCAGATACACAAAAGCAAAAACATAAGGCAAGTGGGAAAAAGTAAAATGAGGAAGATAAGACAGGAGGCTAAATTACTATGGAGTTGTACTGCCAGTTTACAGAGATGTTAAGACGTACACTAGATAAATAAAACCCACCCAGCTTCCTTCCTCAAAATATTCTAATGCAGAAAGCAAAAATACTGCATCCTTCTTGTTGTAAGCACTGTTAGTATTCAACACTAATATTTATGGTGCATTGCAAAAAAAAATCATAAAAGTAGCAAATCAATATAATAAACCATCAGAAGGAAAAATGTTCATATTTTCATAAAATATAGACAGCTTTGTAGATTAAGTGGACTTTCAAATGTTTGCAGCCCCACAGAGCTTTGAAAAACAAAAAATGTCATCCTAATTCCAAAAGCCTAGTAATTAAAAAAAAAAAAAAAAGACAATTTAGTCTATGTTTAATAAGATGTTTATTTAGGATGGTAACACAAATCATGCAAGAGCTTCATAGGAAAAAAATAAAAGGCAAGACAAAAAGAATATAAGGAATGGTAATTGGTGCTGCCAATAAAAAACAAAAACAAAACAAAAAAAAACTATAAATCATTTTACCACCTAAAAGTGATATGAAAAACTGAATCTGAGTATGAACATGGCTGTAGTAATATTTTAGAACTGTAAATTAAAGTGATAGGTAACTACTTGTGTTTCATTCCTCAGAGGAATAGAGTCCAATATCCAAAATAATCATTAATGTCCCTCCCATCCCACACTCAGATGGTGAGCAGCCCTAAACCTCTACACACTGACTTCTTCAACACACTTAGGACTGTCTCGACTGACACTAGCAGGGGAAGGGGCAGGCACCTTTGGTGACTCTTAAATGAGACTATCTACATTCAGAATCTTAAAATTTTGGTAATGAAAACCATAAGACTTGCAAATCATCCTTACCATCCTTAAATGTAGTGTTGTGATATTCACAGAAGGATTCATCCAGTGGGAATAAATTTGAACAGATATACCGAACTGAACATAGTGTCTCAGGTCTCAAACAGATACAACTGATCTCGGAAAAAATAAATATAGTGGAATGCAAGTTTGATAGATGAAAGAATATATAATCTATCTACCAACTGTCAAGGTGTACAATTTCATTGCAGACACAAAGAATCAACAATTTCAAAGAAGTTTGCACTTATTCCTCACAAAATCTTCACTTTTGGAGCTATCCCAATTGAAGCTACACACTGAATTTATTAATACAGCATTAAGTTTTTGTGTAAAAAAATCTTTGTACAGAGTAATAAAAAAAGATAAGGCAAGATGCATTAAACAGAAACCTTCTGGTTCTTTTCCTCTGGGTTCTTACAGAGCCACTGATGACTATCTGCAACAAAAGAGTTAAGTTTCTGCTTTTCCATATCAAGCATCTTATGCCTTTGCTGTGGTAAGAATTCTGTCGGAGCACCCTGAAGGACAGATGCTGGTGATGGTCTTTGGCACTTACGCTGGCAAACTGAGCTTCTTTCCCTTGAGTACTAGAATTTTAGAGAGGAAGAGAAAAAGAAAAGGTTATTGATATTGACAAGCTTACAGTTTTCTTCTTCCCATTTCTAGCAGCTTGTTATACATAAGATTCTACATAGTAAGATACAAGTTAATAAGTAACTGTATTTAACAAAATACAAATTCAAGTGAAAGTGCCACTAAATTCATAGCAATCTTTTATCATGACTTTTACCCTAATCAAAATATATCAAAATATAATTTATGGGGAACCAGCAGTTAGCGTAATGGCTATATTGCTGGACTCCCATGTAGTCAACAACGGTTTGCGTCCCAGACCTGGTGGTTTAGAACTCACGCCAGGCGCATGTGTGTGCGTGCCCAAGATCCAGAGAGGAGAATGGAGAAGAGGTTGCGGCGTGACCATCCCCCCTGGGGGGTGATTTCTCACTTTCTGTCTCTATCTGTCTGGCGAGCGCACACACCCTACGGCAAAAACCTCTCAAAAAAAAAAAAAAATATATATATATATATAATTTATGTAGAAGGGAAATTTTGGATAGTAAAAGAGACAAAGGGCCCAGGCCATGGTGTGGTGGCTAGATCCCACCTGATCAACAGCACAGTTCAAGTCTTAGATCTGGTGGTTTGAGAAAAATGCTGGGCATGTATGCATGAAGTACCTAAAAGCCCAAATGGAGGGAAAGATGGAGAAGGGATTGTCGCACGACCATTCCCCATGGAGAGTGCTTTCTCACTTTGTCTCTCTCACTCCCCAACGAGTTCACATGTCCTCTGGCAAAAATTAAAAAAAGAAAAAGAAAAAACAAGGGACCTGTCCTGTAGGGCAGTGGTTAAATGCTGTACATTGGGAGCAGGACCCCACATGGCCAACTGCAGTCCAAGTCTTGGTCCTGGTGGCTTAAAAAACACATTGGATATGTGTGCAGGCATGATAAGAAGAAATGGAGGAAAAAGGACTATGACCTATTGGGGGGATGCTCTCTTGCTCTCTCTCATGCACATGAACAAATGTGCCCTCTAGCAATAAAAGTTATATAGCTAGCTAGCTATATAATCTAGCTAGCTAAAGGTGAGGAGAAATACCTTTATACCTACCAACTCCACCATTAGGAAATTTACTGTATAGCAGGGATTCTTAGCCTGGAATGGGTGGCTGAATCTCAGGGGCTTCTGAATCCCCTAAAACTGTATGTATAAATTTGTGTGCATATATATAAATATGCACTTTTTTTCTGACCAAGGACCTTAGCTTTCACCAGATTTTGGTTAAGTGCAATGCCCTAAATTCATGGGAATACAAAAATATACATAAGGTGTTATTGTTTTTTTTTTTAAGAATTATTATTTAATTTATTTTATTTATTATTATTATTAGAGAGGTTTTTGCTATAGGACATGTGTGTTCACCAGAAAGACAGAGAGAGACAGAAAGCGAGAAATCACCCCCTCGGGGGATGGCCATGCCACAATGCCTCCTCCTCTCAGGATCTTGGGCACCCACGCACAAGTGCCCAGCATGAGTTTAAGCCACTGGGTCCAAGATTCAAATAGAGGTTGACTACATGGGAGTCCAGTGACGCAGCAATTACACCATCTGCTGGTCACTATTATTATTATTTTTTAAATTTGCTATGGGGGCGGGGAACAGCAGGTGGTATGGTGGTTAAGGTACTGGATATTCCCACATGGCCAACAATGGTTCAAGTCCTAGACCTGGTGGCTTGCTTTCTCACTTTCCCTCTCTCTGGTCAAATTTAAATAAATGAATAAATTAATTAATTCTTAAAAAATCTTAAAAAAATTTTTTTTTGCTATCGGGCACATGTGTTCACCAGAGAGACAGAGATAGAGAGAGAGAGAAAGCGAGAAAGCAGGCCTCAGGCCCAGGACCGAACCACAATTGGAGACCACTGTGTAAGGCTAGGGCCCCATGGGAGGCCCAGGTTCAGTTCCTGGAAAAAGGCTGGTCATGGTGACACAAGCCTGTGGTCCTAGCTAACTGTAAGGCTGGAGTGAGAGGATCATGGTAAGACTGTTAAAATACCTCTTTCTCTCATTCAAAACCAAGCAAAACAATACAAAAAACTACTTTGTCCCTTTCTTCTCTCTGTCTCTCATTAAAATAAACAGATTTTCTGAAACCTACTCTGTTTCATGAGTATATCAGATGAACAGTGACAGGCAAGGGAGCAGGGCAAGCAACCTCCTAAAAGAACACGAGGCTACAGGAACAAAGCAGCAGCAGGCAGGACCTAACATACCTTTTGTAATGTACAAGTAGAAGAAGTCACAGTATAGAATGGTCTGGACTACACCAGCCACCACAGCGATGAGGTCAAAGAAACCCTCAAAGTAGAAGCGCCAAATCCAGTTGACAAGGTACAAAGCACGATAGAGGCCCAGGAAGAACAGGTAGTGGGTGGTGATGGTCTCAGCCTCCCCGGTCTTGCTGATCATAAAAAGCTGTGGAAGGATCGCCACTGATTCCAGGTAGATAGAGAAGGTCCATAAAATCTGCCAAGAGACATGGCACGCTTCAGTCAGGATCCAGAGCCCACCGTAAGTTCGTGGGAAGTACATTTTCTTTCCTATGAGACAGTATATAAAGAGTGGGGAGACTGGGAGGAAGGGGGTCTTGGTATCTTAGCCCAATACAGCAGCTTGGCATCTGCATAAATTAGAGAAACTCAAACAAAATTTAAGAGGCATGGCACACCCAAGGACAAGCCAAGTAATTAGAAAGCTTTTACCTTTGAATTTTTCATTACTTATCTCTCGAATGTCTTATTCTTCCCTGTACAATTTTTTAATGCATCTATATCTGATGTACCTCCTGGATAAATTTGTCCCACTTCAAATCTGAAGCCCAAAATACTGCTACTTAGTTCCTTCCAGTTCCGTGCTGCTGTTTTTCCTTACCAGCTGATTTCCTTTCCTTTCCTTCCTATCTAGATATTTTCATTATTTTTATTCTTTAGGCTTTTTTGGTATGGTTAAAGGGGGTAGAAATCAGAGTTGTAAATACATAGAAACTCTCAATGTGATCCTTTATTCGCACGAATGACAAAAGGAATTGTACTAGTCCTTAAGTGTTTTTAAAAATCCAGGCACTTCCAGCAACCATCCAATAGCCAAGAGCAGCAGAACAAATAAAAAAACTGCAGGATGCTAAGTGGCAGCCCTTCACTGGGGAAGGAAAAAGCATTCAGGAGCAGGTTCCCTCAATGCACACTGTTGGGGCACCATAAACCACTTTTCCTAAAGGAGAGGAGTGTAGCAGTACTACCTACTACTTAGCAGATTCACATGTACAACATAAATGCTAACATCTGTACATGAACAGGAAACAAAATATGGGCCTGAGTATGGAGAAGAGGACATTCTTTAAACACCGAGAAAGGCAGGGCTCTGCATTTGGTACCACAGACATTAAGATAACGAAACACAGTTCCAAGATGATAGTAAGCCAGGCAATAGGATACCAGCAGACCAACTACGTGAATGCTTAATTCTGTGTTATAACTTTTAAATTAAAATCCACTTTTTGGGTGATCAAAATGATAGATTGTGTTTTTTTTTTCTTCTTTATTTTTGCAGATAAAATTGTATGTATTCATCCTGTAAGACATGTTTTGAAGTATATTGACATTGTAGAATGACTAAATCTAGCTAATTAACAAATGCATTATCTCAAAGAGTTATTTTTGTGGTGAGAACACTTAACATCCACTCTTAGCATTTTTCAAGAATACAATGTAAGTCATTAGCTATAGTCACCAACACTGTACAACAGATCTCTTAAACTTATTCCTCCTAACTTAAAAAATGTTGTATTCTTTCACTGAAAATTCCCAACCAATCCTCCCTTGGGTCCTTTATTCTTCTCCACAACTTACACTGATTAGGATATTATACCAAGTTTGCCAAACTGAAAAACAATAACAAAAAGCCCCACAAAACTCCACATTACCTGTAAATAGGTCTATTTACCTGGGGAAGCAGACATGACTGCTAAATACCCTCTTAACTAACCTCCAGAGGAGAGAAATCATGATTGACTAGAAATGAGAGGCCTCCCACAGGGACCACCAGAAACTCCACTCGGAAGGTATCATGATTTCCATCGTAGGTTGCCTTAAATTTCATGTAGATCAGGTACACTGTGGCATAAGAGCAGGCAATGTAGATAAGCTAAAAACAAAAGGAAAAACACCAGGTTATCAATACCAAGATTGTTTGGCTCCCTCAGCTTTCTACATCATGCATGTATTCAGAAAGGTGAGAATTTTCCTTAGCTTTTCTTGGTATTTTAAAATTTAAACATAATAAGACGTACTTTTTTGGGGGGTGTACAGTTCTATACATAATATAGTCATAATTAGGACACGGAACAGTTCCATTACCCTATAAATTCTTCTATACTGCCCCTTTGTAGTCAAGTCTACTCCAAGCTTAACCCCTGGACAATCACTGACACCATCTTTCCTGAATTGTGCCCTTTCTAGAATCCATAAAAATGAAGTCATACAGTATGTCACCATGTGAGTCCAACTTCTTTAATTCTGCATGATCCCTGTGAGAGACAACCAAACTTGTTACATGTTAATAATTTGTTAGCTTGTATAGCTAGATAGCAATCCACTATATGGGTGCATCACAGTTTGTTTACTCACTTACCAGTTAGAGGACAGGTGGTGGTTTCCAACTTTGGGGGATGGTAGATAAAGTTACCACAAACAAGGGTGTATAAGCTTTTGTGTGAAACTGATTTTTGTTTTTTGAGTATATACCTAGGAGGGGTGGGATGTCGCTTGGTCCTATGTTAAGTTAAAATTTATAAGAAATTGTCGCTTCCTTTTGGCCGGAACTGCCATCTTCCAGTAATTAACCAAAATTACGAATACAAAGGGAAAAAGGAGAGACACCTGATATATGTTCTCTAGGCCTTTTAGAAAACATGGAGTTGTTCCTTTGGCAACATATATGGGAATCTACAAAAAAGGTGATATTGTAGACATTAAGGGAATGTTCAAAAAGGAATGTCCCACAAATGTTACCATGGCAAAACTGGAAGAGTCTACAATGTTACCCAGCATGCTGTTGGCATTGTTGTGAACAAACAAGTTAAGGGCAAGATTCTTGCCAAGAGAATCAATGTGCGTATTGAGCATATTAAACATTCTAAGAGCAGAGAT